TCTAAATAAATCAAACCCGGCATAAGGTCTTTAAGTGACGTGATGTCATCTTGTCCGTTACGAGAGGCAATGCGATGCATCAATCCTCCCACAGTCAAACCAAAAGGGCTCCAACTAAATGGGATCTCAAATGGTTGCTTAATATAATTGCCCTCATTGCGTATTGCATGTGCGTGGAGAGGACGATGGGGGTGAGGGCTGCAGTTACTGTCGGGTGTTTGCAGACTGGGGCTGGGAGGTTCTGAGGTATAAGGCTAAAAGCAGGACATTGGTCAGAAAACAGCACTTTATGGCTTTGGTCGGTGGCCACAGCTCAGTACGAATATGTTTGTCCATTACAGCAAGTCCTATTAGGTTAATGACTTTAGCAGTTTTATGGGTTTAAGCTCATTACTTAGTTCAGTTCAATCTAATCATCTGCTGCACGGGGCAACCTCAGCTACAGTAACTGGATTTGGTGAAAACCCTAGGGTTCTTTCACTATTTTGTCTCGTGAAATGTCGGGTGTCCACATGTGACCAGTGTGGGCGGGTCCTGGCTCCAAAATGTCCTTCAGATTCAGATTCAGTTCATGAGCACGAGCTCTGACATGCTGCAATCTGGTGGGGGTGTACCCGGAAAGAGAATTACCCAATGTTTTTGTATGGCGCCTTCTTTCCTCTCAAAAACTTTTTTACAGGATGGTCCAAAAGTTGATCTTGGCTACGTTCCAGATGCTGTCAATGCGGAAAGGAGTATTTTTCTTGGACCAGTCTAGTTAAGCTGCTGTGGACTTTTGAAAGCACTTGTTAAATTAATGGCGCTTGTGCTGGTTGACGCATGCGCCAATACGTTTTTCACATTTTCCTGCCATGCGGCCATTTTGAAAAAGCCCACAGAAGGCAAAAGTGGGGGAACATTAGTTTGAACGACAGAGATAGGCGTCACTACATCTGTTAATATTTACAGTGAATACTTGTGACAGGGGTAATTCAAATGTTCAGGTTAGATTTTGTGCACTTATAAAATCAGTCCACAAGATCTAGTGTGGAATCTGACCAGCATGTTTGCAAGGAATAAGAATCAAGCCATGTAGACCTTGGTTATACTTGGATTGTCTGTACTCAGTGTTAGTGACTCAGGGGTGGTCTGCTGTCTCTGTTCTGACATATTTCTAATGCACATTGCTACACATCATATAAAAGGCGGTGTTTTCTTCTGTTCTGTCTGAAAACGCTTGGAAATAAACTGGGGGTGCAAGTATGTGAGATCGCTGCTCATTTTTTCTACATTGCTGTACTATACCGAATATGCATTTTTCTTATTCTTGCCCAGAGTAATCTATCTCTGAGCGGGAAGACGATTGTTGCATGGCTCAAAGAGGTTCACAGTAACATACATTCCTCTGTCCCTGCTAGGTAAATCCAGAAAGAATCAAGTCTGCTCTGCCATAAGGAGGGCCTTTTCTTTCACATTTAGCGGTATATGAGCTACCGCGCTCAGCAATCGACCCTCCTTGGACCCTATTCTTTTGACTGGGGCATGCTCCGTGTGAATAACCCAATCCAAAGCAATAATTTACATAGCAAACTGACAAAATCTTTTCATAGCTGCTTAAACGTGGGTTCGGTAAAGATGGTCATAAGTCTTACGAAGGACACTTTGTATATAGCAACGAGCAATTCATGTTGATTGAAGCTCTTTAGAATGCAGATTGAAAGCAAATTGAAGCTCTGCTTTCTATTCAGTTCACACCCTCATGCTTAAAACATTTACATTATATTTATTTCTTTAAGTATATTTATGTTCTACCTCAAGTGGAGGAGTTCAAGTATCTCGGGGTCTTGTTCACGAGTGAGGGAAGAATGGAGCGTGAGATTGACAGGCGGATCTGTGCAGCGTGCGCAGTGATGCGGTCGCTGTATCGGACCGTTGTGGTAAAGAGGGAGCAGCGTCTGCAGTCAGAGCTGTATCGGACCGTTGTGGTAAAGAGGGAGCAGCGTCTGCAGTCAGAGCTGTATCGGACCGTTGTGGTAAAGAGGGAGCTGAGCCGAAAGGCAAAGCTCTCGATTTACCGGTCAATCTTCGTCCCCTCCCTCACCTATGGTCATGAGCTTTGGGTAATGAACGAAAGAACGAGATCGCGGATAAACGCAGTCGAAATGAGCTTCCTCCGCAGAGTGGCTGCTCCCTTAGAGATAGGGCGAGGAGCTCGGTCACACGGGAGGAGCTCGGAGTAGAGCCCCTGCTCCACGTCGAGAGGAACCAGTTGAGGTGGCTCGGGCATCTGTTCCGGATGCCTCCTGGACGCCTTCCTGGGGAGGTGTTCCGGGCACGTCCCACCGGGAGGAGGCCCCGGGGAAGACCTAGGACACGCTGGAGGGACTATGTCTCTCAGCTGGCCTGGGAACGCCTTGGGGTCCCCCCGGATGAGCTGGAGGAGGTGTGTGGATAGGGAAGTCTGGGCGTCTCTGCTTAGACTGCTGCCCCCGCGACCCGGCAACGGATAAAGCGGAAGAAAATGGAATGGAATGGAAAGTATATTTATGGAGCTATACAGTAGTGAGGGTTCAGACTGGGTGACATGTAACTTCCCGATATCCTAACTGCTTTACTTGACTCCTCCCTCTTCTACATTCCTTTGAGTTAACCAGCGTCCTCTGACACATTTACTCAGTGCTTTAGTGAATCATTAATCATCCTTCACTGGCTGCATTTAAACACTACAGCTCTACACTAAACTTGAAACATGGGGTCTTTCCTTTCCTTTCAAAAACGTCTTTAGAGGATGGTCCAAAACCGTGGCCCAACGCTTCGTTCCAGATGCTGTCGATGTTGAGGGGACTTTTCTTTTTTTTTTTGGACCAGTCTAGTTTAGCTGCTGTGGACTTTTGAACGCACTCGTTAAATGAATGGCGCTGGTGCAGCAAATGCATTTTTTCAAAAATTTTGACCGGCCATTTTGAAAAAACCCACAGGGGGCAAAAGTGATGTCACATTCGTTTCAGTGGCAGAGATAGACTTGACTACGTCCAATAATATTTACATTTTAAGGTCCATGTTTATGTAAAAAATGTCTTTTATAAACCAAACACTAAAGCGAATGAAACTTATATCATTTTAGTTTTATTATATGAAGTAATTTCTTTATGTAGTTTTAAAAAGTATCAACTATACAACTGGTGTCACTTAAACATTGGTGATAACTATGGTCAAAATAATCCAGGTTAGAGTGAAATAAAGGTTCAATCTGTGCTCACATGCCTCTTTTTAATTCTTTTTTTAATGTTGATGCTCTTCTGCATAAAAACATGACTTCTGGATTCTTACTGTGTGGAGGTTTGCACACAATCAGCACAAGAGGATTTACTATAATATCTCACTTATGGCCAGTGCTGCGGCGGCTGAAGAGCTGAGGCTTGATAACAGGATGCTCAGGTTCGCCGCTTGGCTGAACACCAATCCCTCTTCTTTCAGATAAGAAGCAATGAAAACAGACCGCTGAGGTGTTCCAGGTTTGTGCTAATATGATGCTCAGTAAAAAGTTATGTATTTCATGTTTTTCTTGTCCACTCAGCTGTTTCTAAGCAAAGGAGATGTGTAGGTTCTCGGGCACAGACTCTGTCCATTGGGCCGTGCTGCCTTAATGGTTGTGACCTCTGGGAATCACCTCGTTCTCCTCTCCTGCCCATATAAGGCCTACCCTAGACTTAGTAACGGTTCAAAAACAACACAATATTTTACATCATTCAAATGAGGACAAAACATTATTACTGGGAATATGGACTCAGAGAATGAAGAGAGCCATACATCTTCTGGGCGACAGTAGCTCAGTTGGTAGAGCACTAGTCTTTGAACCTAATAGTTGTGAGTTTGAGCCCGCCAAGACCCATGTGACCTGCTCCCACTGATGTCTGCTGTTGTTGGACTCGTGCAATGAGAAATGGGTGGCAGCTCTGATTGACACCCGACCAAATTTGAAGAATGACCAACATCCCCAAAATCAGAAACTGAATGGAAGCAATTCAAGAGGTTCAGCTAATGGAGAAACTAACAAACACTTCACTGCTGATTCACAACAATGAGGAAGAATTCAGGAGCGATTTTGTTAGCTTAGCCGTAGCACCAACAGGAAACCACTCCTATCTCCCATCCCTCTCCACCAAACCACTCCCCCCTCCCCTCCCTCTCCACCAAACCACTCCCCCCTCCCCTCCCTCTCCACTAAACCACTCCCCCCCCCCCCCTCTCCACTAAACCACTCCCCCCTCCCCTCCCTCTCCACTAAACCACTCCCCCCTCCCCCCCTCTCCACCAAACCACTCCCCCCCCCCCCCTCCCTCTCCACCAAACCACCCCCCCCTCCCCCCCCTCTCCACCAAACCCCTCCCCCCTCTCCTCCCCTCTCCACTAAACCCCTCCCCCCTCCCCTCCCTCTCCACCAAACCACTCCCCCCTCCCCTCCCTCTCCACCAAACCACTCCCCCCTCCCCTCCCTCTCCACTAAACCACTCCCCCCCCCCCCCTCTCCACTAAACCACTCCCCCCTCCCCTCCCTCTCCACCAAACCACTCCCCCCTCCCCTCCCTCTCCACTAAACCCCTCCCCCCTCCCCTCCCTCTCCACTAAACCACCCCCCCCCCCCCCCCTCCACCAAACCACCCCCCCCCCCCCCCCCCCAAACCACCCCCCCCCCCCCCCTCTCCACTAAACCACTCCCCCCCCCCCTCCCCCCCACCAAACCACTCCCCCCTCCCCTCCACCAAACCACCCCCCCCCCCCCCCCCCTCCACCAAACCACCCCCCCCCCCCCCCTCCCCACCCCACCCCCCCCCCCTCCCTCTCCACTAAACCACTCCCCCCCCCCCCCCCCTCCCACTAAACCACTCCCCCCCCCCCCCTCTCCACTAAACCACTCCCCCCCCCCTCCCCCTCCACCAACCACCCCCCCTCCCTCTCCACCAAACCACTCCCCCCCCCCCTCCCTCTCCACTAAACCACTCCCCCCCCCCCCCTCCCCACTAAACCACCCCCCCCCCCCCTCCCTCTCCACCCCCACCCCCCCCCCCCTCCCTCTCCACTAAACCACTCCCCCCCCCCCCCCCCACCACCAAACCCCCCCCCCCCCCCTCCCTCCCCACCCAACCACCCCCCCCCCCTCCCTCTCCACCAAACCCCTCCCCCCCCCCCCCCCTCCCCCAACCACCCCCCCCCCCCCCCCCCCCCCCCCAAACCCCCCCCCCTCCCCTCCCCCTCCACCAAACCACCCCCCCCTCCCCTCCCTCTCCCCAAACCACCCCCCCCCCCTCCCTCACCACCAAACCCCCCCCCCTCCCCTCCCTCCCCACCCCCCCCCCCCCTCCCCCCCCTCTCCACCAAACCACTCCCCCCTCCCCTACCTCTCCACCAAACCACCCCCCCCCCCCTCCCTCTCCACTAAACCACCCCCCCCCTCCCCTACCTCCCCACCAAACCACCCCCCCCCCCCCCTCTCCACTAAACCCACCCCCCCCCCCCCTCCACCAAACCACCCCCCCCCCCCCCTCGACCAAACCCCCCCCCCCCCCCCCCCTCTCACCAAACCACCCCCCCCCCCCCTCTCCCCACAACCACTCCCCCCTCCCCTCCCTCTCCACCAAACCCCCCCCCCCCCCCTCCCTCTCCACCAAACCACCCCCCCCCCCCCCCCCCTCTCCACTAAACCACTCCCCCCCCCCCCCCTCTCCACCAAACCCTCCCCCCCCCCCCTCCCTCTCCACCAAACCACCCCCCCCTCCCTCTCCACCAAACCCCCCCCCCCCCTCTCCACTAAACCACTCCCCCCCCCCCCCCTCTCCACCAAACCCACTCCCCCCCCCATCCCCTCCCACCAAACCACTCCCCCCTCCCTCTCCACTACCCACTCCCCCCTCCCCTCCCTCTCCACCAAACCCCACCCCCCCTCCCCTCCCCCCCCACTAAACCACTCCCCCCCCCCCTCCCTCTCCACTAAACCACCCCCCCCTCCCCTCCCTCTCCACCAAACCACCCCCCCTCCCCACCAAACCCCCCCCCCCTCCCCTCCCTCTCCACCCCCCCCCCCCCCCCGTCCCTCTCCACCAAACCACACCCCCCCCCCCCCCCCTCTCCACCCCCCCCCCCCCCCCCCCTCCCCCCCCACCAAACCCCCCCCCCCCCCCCTCTCCACCAAACCACTCCCCCCCCCCCACCCTCCCCACCAAACCACCCCCCCCTCCCACCCTCTCCACCAAACCCCCCCCCCCCCCCCCCACCAAACCCCCCCCCCCCACCCCCCCCACCCAAACCCCCCCCCCCCCTCCCCCCCCTCTCCACCAAACCACCACCCCCCCCCCCCCCCTCTCCACTAAACCACTCCCCCCCTCCCTCTCCACCCCCACTCCCCCCCTCCCCTCCCTCTCCACCAAACCCACCCCCCCCTCCCCTCCCCCACCCACCACCCACCCCCCCTCCCCTCCCTCTCCACTAAACCACCCCCCCCCCTCCCTCCCCACCCCACCCCCCCTCCCCTCCCTCTCCACTAAACCACCCCCCCCCCCTCCCTCTCCACCAAACCCCCCCCCCCCCCCTCCCTCTCCACTAAACCACTCCCCCCTCCCTCTCCACTAAACCACTCCCCCCCTCCTCCTCCCTCTCCACCAAACCACCCCCCCTCCCCTCCCTCTCCACCAAACCACCCCCCCTCCCCTCCCTCTCCACTAAACCACTCCCCCCTCCCTCTCCACTAAACCACCCCCCCTCCCCTCCCTCTCCACTAAACCACTCCCCCCTCCCTCTCCACCAAACCACCCCCCCTCCCCTCCCTCTCCACTAAACCACTCCCCCCTCCCTCTCCACTAAACCACCCCCCCTCCCCTCCCTCTCCACTAAACCACTCCCCCCTCCCTCTCCACCAAACCACCCCCCCTCCCCTCCCTCTCCACTAAACCACTCCCCCCTCCCTCTCCACTAAACCACTCCCCCCTCTCCTCCCTCTCCACCAAACCACTCCCCCCTCCCCTCCCTCTCCACTAAACCACTCCCCCCCCTCCCTCTCCACCAAACCACTCCCCCCTCCCCTCCCTCTCCACTAAACCACTCCCCCATCCCTCTCCACCAAACCACTCCCCCCTCCCCTCCCTCTCCACCAAACCACTCCCCCCCCTCCCTCTCCACTAAACCACTCCCCCCCCTCCCTCTCCACCAAACCACTCCCCCCTCCCCTCCCTCTCCACTAAACCACTCCCCCCTCCCCTCCCTCTCCACTAAACCACTCCCCCCTCCCTCTCCACTAAACCACTCCCCCCTCTCCTCCCTCTCCACCAAACCACCCCCCCTCCCCTCCCTCTCCACCAAACCACTCCCCCCTCCCCTCCCTCTCCACCAAACCACTCCCCCTTCCCCTCCCTCTCCACCAAACCACTCCCCCCCCCCCTACCTCTCCACCAAACCACTCCCCCCTCCCCTCCCTCTCCACTAAACCCCTCCCCCCTCTCCTCCCTCTCCACCAAACCACTCCCCCCTCCCCTCCCTCTCCACTAAACCCCTCCCCCCTCTCCTCCCTCTCCACCAAACCACCCCCCCTCTCCTCCCTCTCCACTAAACCACTCCCCCCTCCCCTCCCTCTCCACCAAACCACTCCCCCCTCCCCTCCCTCTCCACCAAACCCCTCCCCCCTCTCCTCCCTCTCCACTAAACCCCTCCCCCCTCTCCTCCCTCTCCACTAAACCACTCCCCGTGGTTTAGTGGAGAGGCATGGTGGCTGAGTGGATAGCACTCTGGCCTCTCAGCAAGAAGGTCCTGGGTTCGAATCCCGGTCGGACCAGGGCCTTTCTGAGTGGAGTTTGCATGTTCTCCCCGTGTCTGCGTATCCTCCGGGTACTCCGGTTTCCCCTACCACTAAAAATATGTCCAATAGTTCTGGCATGGCCTCCTGTACTGGCCCTGCTCTCATCTCTGTGTGGAGTGAGAGACAAATGCCCAAAATTAACAATTGTAAACCGCTTTGAGACTCAGATCTGCAGTGATTAATTACTTACTACTTACTAAACCCCTCCCCCCTCTCCACCAAACCCCTCCCCCCTCCCCTCCCTCTCCACCAAACCACTCCCCCCTCCCTCTCCACCAAACCACTCCCCCCTCCCCTCCCTCTCCACTAAACCACTCCCCCCTCCCCTCCCTCTCCACCAAACCACTCCCCCCTCCCATCCCTCTCCCCCAAAACAACTCTCCCCCCCTCCCTCTCCACCAAACCACTCCCCCCCCTCCCTCTCCACCAAACCACTCCCCCCCCCTCCCTCTCCACCAAAACCCTCCCCCCCCCCCTCCCTCTCCACCAAACCACTCCCCCCCCCTCCCTCTCCACCAAACCACTCCCCCCTCCCTCCCTCTCCGCTAAACCACTCCCCCCTCCCCTCCCTCTCCACCAAACCACTCCCCCCTCCCCTCCCTCTCCACCAAACCAAACATCCAGCATTTTCTTTTCTTTGTCCCAACAGAGAGAGTGGAGCAAACAAGAAATTGGGATTTTCTGTTCAGCCATTTTAGATTTTAGAAAATCCGATAACTCCGGTGCACTCTGAGAAACAGGAAGAGGGTGAAGGGGCTAAACACATCCCATTGGTTCGTTGGAGATGAACAAATCCCATTGGTTTATTTTCGCTCCAAAACATGTTTTATTCATTCCCGAAGACTATAGGCATCTGGTCAATTCCATTACTATTTGAAAACACATGATTACTTGATACTTTTAGGGGTTATGGACATTTTCACACAATATTTTAAGAAAAAAGTCTGGAAAAAATCACTGTCTGCATCTTTAAATATAATAACGCATTTATATTTAATCAATAACGATAAAACTAGATAGAGAGGAGCATCTAAAAGGGAACTATAAATATAAGAAATATAGATTATTTTCACACGTGTGCACTTTATTATTTACTTGTATGACATCAAAATTATTACATTTATAGAAATAGTCATCTGTTGTTTGTATGAATCTATATATTTATTTTCATCTTGACCCTGCTTTACTTGTTTTGACTCGGGGAGCATACTCGGAAAAAAAGGGGAAAAAATGTCATGTTTTGCTGTATTTAGTATAAGTGTGAACTAATAAAGAGGACACAATTAAGTAATAAAAAATAGAAATAAAGAACAAATTATTATTATTATTATTCACATTTTGGCAGCCGCAGCCTTTGCAATTTGAGAACCCCTGCTTTAAATAACCTTAATTTCAATACAGCCAGCCACATCTCTCTCTGTTTTATCTATTGTGATGTCTATTGTTCATTTGGCATTACTTAAACATAATATTTAAAAATGTGTAAGTGCCATAAAGCTGTCCACAATCGATACGAAGAGATTAGTTTGTCCTTACCTGAAGATTGGACGAAGAAGAATCCCAGATGTCTCCGCTTTGCATTTAATTGAGCATTTAATTTTTTTACTGTCCACTTTTATTCATCTCGACTTCTTCTCTTCCTTCTCTCGTCAGTGGTTTAACAAGCGACCAATCAGAGGCTAGATTTATAACTGAACCTCTTACTAACCACCAGCTGAGGGCTAACTTCCTTAAATTATGGTTTGCTGTTAAATTGATTGGATATTCGTGGCAGTTTCTCGTCATTATCCGCGGTAGATTCAAAGGGCTGTCAGGGCTGGAGATGGGAATATATATTTATTCGATCATTTACTCATGATTCTGGGATGAGGAGGCTGCGGTGGTCTGCCTTTCAGGGGCTGATAAAATGGTTATGGTGGCACAGGCGGGATTTCAGTCTAATTGGCGTGTTGGGGGAGCCCGGGAGGATGGAGGGTCCCGCGTTGGTTGGGTCAAACGCAGTGAGGAGGAGGTCTGTGTGATGCAGGCTGCGGCGTCACGGACACAGATTTCCTGATGCTTGTACCACACATTTAAAGTCTCATTCTTTACCTACTCATTACCACATGGCTTTAGTATAATCCAATGTTATCAACGCTTTGAGAGCAAATATTTTATCACGACTGGGAGAGGACATAAAGAATAGAGCTTTAGACATAACCTGTTATTACGTGTGACGATCGGATTGAGAAATGTCCATTAACCTTAAAAGAATTTCCGCGGTCAGAGCAGTGTCTGGGCAGTTCCTCTAACCTTTCAGTGTCGTGTTGTGCTCAAAAGCAACGCGCTCAGATGACGGTGAGTGCGTCAAATCTAAGACAGTTGATCATTTCTAATATCTCCTGTTGCTTGTTCAGCTTTTGCGCAGAAAAGTTTGTTGGCAAAGAATGTGTACAGTGTATTTTTACATATTTATCCATCCATCCATCCATCCATTTTCTTCCGCTTTATCCGTTGCCGGGTCGCGGGGGCAGCAGTCTAAGCAGAGACGCCCAGACTTCCCTATCCACACACACTTCCTCCAGCTCGTCCGGGGGGACCCCAAGGCGTTCCCAGGCCAGCTGAGAGACATAGTCTCTCCAGCGTGTCCTGGGTCTTCCCCGGGGCCTCCTCCCGGTGGGACGTGCCCGGAACACCTCCCCAGGAAGGCGTCCAGGAGGCATCCTGAACAGATGCCCGAGCCACCTCAACTGGTTCCTCTCGACGTGGAGAAGCAGCGGCTCTACTCCGAGCTCCTCCCGTGTGACTGAGCTCCTCACCCTATCTCTAAGGGAGCGCCCAGCCACTCTGCGGAGGAAGCTCATTTCGACCGCTTGTATCCGCGATCTCGTTCTTTCGGTCATTACCCACAGCTCATGACCATAGGTGAGGGAGGGAACGAAGATTGACCGGTAAATCGAGAGCTTCGCCTTTCGGCTCAGCTCCCTCTTTACCACAACGGTCCGATACAGAGACCGCATCACTGCGCACGCTGCACCGATCCGCCTGTCAATCTCACGCTCCATCCTTCCCTCACTCGTGAACAAGACCCCGAGATACTTGAACTCCTCCACTTGAGGAAGGACCTCTCCACCCACCTGAAGAGGGCAAGGCACCTTTTTCCGGTCGAGCACCATGGCCTCGGATTTGGAGGTGCTGATTCTCATCCCAGCCGCTTCACACTCGGCTGCAAACCGTCCCAGTGCATGCTGCAGGTCCTGGTTCGTTGGAGCCAGCAGGACGACATCATCCGCAAAAAGTAGAGATGAAATCCTGTGGTTCCCGAACCGGACCCCCTCCGGCCCCTGGCTGCGCCTAGAAATTCTGTCCATAAATACAGTGAACAGAACCGGTGACAAAGGGCAGCCTTGGCGGAGGCCAACATGCACCGGGAACAGGTCTGACTTACTGCCGGCAATGCGAACACAGCTCTGACTCCGGTCATACAGGGACCGGACGGCCCTCAGCAGAGGACCCCGGACCCCGTACTCCCGGAGGACCCCCCAAAGGACACCCCGGGGAACACGGTCGAACGCCTTCTCCAAATCCACAAAGCACATGTGGACAGGTTGGGCGAACTCCCATGAACCCTCGAGTATCCGATGGAGAGTATAGAGCTGGTCCAGTGTTCCGCGACCGGGACGAAAACCACACTGCTCCTCCTGAATCCGAGATTCGACCATCGGACGTAGCCTCCTCTCCAGTACCTTGGAGTAGACCTTACCGGGGAGGCTGAGGAGTGTGATCCCACGATAATTGGAACACAACCTCCGGTCCCCCTTCTTGTAGAGAGGGACCACCACCCCGGTCTGCCACTCCATTGGCACCGCCCCCGATCGCCACGCGATGCTGCAGAGACGTGTCAGCCAAGACAGTCCTACAACATCCAGAGACTTTAGATAGTCAGGACGGATCTCATCCACTCCCGGCGCCTTGCCACCATGGAGGCTGCCAACCACCTTGGTGACCTCGGCCAGGGAGATAGAAGTGTCCGCCCCAACATCCTCAGCCTCTGCCTCCTGGACGGAGGACGTGGCGGGGGGATTGAGGAGAACCTCGAAGTATTCTTTCCACCGCCCGACAATATCCCCAGTCGAGGTCAGCAGCCCTCCACCCGCACCATACACGGTGTTGGCAAAGAACTGCTTTCCCCTCCTGAGGCGCCGGACGGTTTGCCAGAACCTCTTCGAGGCCGACCGATAGTCATGCTCCATGGACTCTCCGAACTCCTCCCAGTCCCGGGTTTTTGCCTCTGCAACAGCCCGGGCCGCGGCACGTTTGGCCTGCCGGTACTGGACAGCTGCCTCAGGAGTCCCACGAACCATCATTGCTCGATAGGACTCCTTCTTCAGCCTGACGGCATCTCTTACTGCCGGTGTCCACCACCGGGTTCGGGGATTGCCGCCGGGACCAGCACCAGAGACCTTGCGACCACAGCTACGAGCCGCAGCATTGGCGATAGAGGAAGAGAACATGGTCCACTCGGACTCAATGTCCCCCTCCTCCGCCGGGACCTGGGAGAAGCTCTCCCGGAGGTGTGAGTTGAAAGTCCGTCTGACAGGGGGCTCAGCAAGACGTTCCCAGCAAACCCTCACTACACGCTTGGGCCTGCCAGGTCTGACCGGCCTCCTGCCCTGCCAGCGGATCCAACTCACGACCAGGTGATGATCGGTTGACAGCTCCGCCCCTCTCTTCACCCGAGTGTCCGAGACACGCGGTCGAAGGTCAGATGATACGACAACAAAGTCGATCATCGACCTCCGGCCTAGGGTGTCCTGGTGCCACGTGCACTGATGGACACCCTTGTGCTCGAACATGGTGTTCGTGATGGACAGGCCGTGACTGGCACAGAAGTCCAACAACTGAACACCGCTCGGGTTCAGATCAGGGGGGCCGTTCTTCCCGATCACCCCTCTCCAAGTGTCACTGGCATTTCCCCACATGGGCGTTGAAGTCCCCCAGGAGAATAACGGAGTCCCCGGGCGGTGCACTATCCAGTACCCCTCCCAAGGACTCCAAGAAGGCCGGGTACTCTGCACTACCGTTAGGCCCGTAGGCCGTCACAACAGTCAGAGACTTGTCCCCCACCCGGAGGCGGAGGGACGCGACCCTCTCATTCACCGGGGAGAACTCCAACACGTGGCGGCTGAGATGGGGGGCAATGAGAATGGCCACCCCCGCTCGCCGCCTCTCCCCGCGGGAAACTCCAGAAAAGTGGAGCGTCCAACCCCTCTCAAGAAGTTGGGTTCCAGAGCCCAAGCTGTGTGTGGAGGAGAGGCCGACTATCTCTAGTCGGTATCGCTCAACCTCCCCCACAAGCTCGGGCTCCTTCCCCCCCAGTGAGGTGACGTTCCACGTCCCAAGAGCCAGATGTTGGGTGTGTGGACTGGGTCGTCGAGGTCTCCGCCTTCGACTGCTACCCAGTCCTCGCTGCACCACGCCACCACGGACCCCTCTGCAGGTGGTGGGCCCACAGGAGGGACTGCCCACGTCGTCCCTTCGGGCTGAGCCCGGCCGGGCCCCGTGGGCTAAGGCCCGGCCACCAGGCGCTCGCTTGCGAGCCCCGACCCCAGGCCTGGCTCCAGGGTGGGGCCCCGGCTGCGCCATGCCGGGCGACGTCACGGTTTTCGTTATCGTGCTGTCCATAATTTTTACATATTTAGATACTTAGATAGATACTTTATTGATCCCAGAGGAGAAATGCAGGTGTCCAGTAGCAGCAAAAATAAAAATAAAAATGTATCCTTCTAAAAATATAACAATAATATTAATAAGTAACAACCGTTTAGGTCACAGCAGCAGAGGTGGAGTAGCCTCTGGGTGGAGCAGGACAGGTCACAGCAGCAGAGGTGGAGTAGCCTCTGGGTGGAGCAGGACGGGTCACAGCAGCAGAGGTGGAGTAGCCTCTGGGTGGAGCAGGACAGGTCACAGCAGCAGAGGTGGAGTAGCCTCTGGGTGGAGCAGGATGGGTCACAGCAGCAGAGGTGGAGTAGCCTCTGGGTGGAGCAGGACGGGTCACAGCAGCAGAGGTGGAGTAGCCTCTGGGTGGAGCAGGACAGGTCACAGCAGCAGAGGTGGAGTAGCCTCTGGGTGGAGCAGGACGGGTCACAGCAGCAGAGGTGGAGTAGCCTCTGAGTGGAGCAGGACGGGTCACAGCAGCAGAGGTGGAGTAGCCTCTGGGTGGAGCAGGACGGGTCACAGCAGCAGAGGTGGAGTAGCCTCTGGGTGGAGCAGGACGGGTCACAGCAGCAGAGGTGGAGTAGCCTCTGGGTGGAGCAGGACGGTCACAAGGTGGAGTAGCCATCAATTGTAAACTGCCTTGTGACTCTGGTCTGTGAAAGGCGGTATATAAATAAAGATTTCTCACTTACTTCACCGCTTGGTTCAGACCATTCTCTCTGCTCTGGTCCAAAGTAAAACGCTGAATGCTTCATTAGCATTTTTTAAAAAGTTAGTATTCCCCCAGCTGATCCACTTGGTTTGGACCATGAATCCTCTCTGCTCTGGTCTGGACCAGTGTAAAACCATGAATCCTCTCTGCTCTGGACCAGTGTAAAACCATGAACACTGAACTGCAGCAACACCTCAGGCAGAAAAAAGCAGAACAGTAACAACTGTAAAACTCAAAACAACCGTCTCAGAGACACGGACTTGAAACCGTTTCCAGAACATTCAAAAGACTCAGGTCACGTGCACAGTTTTATGGACAAAGCTCAGTAATAACTTCAGAATTACGTCCAATCCACAGAACCTCTTCATCTTTGTCTTCCCTGAACTTGCATCTTGTTGAGGCTTGAACGTCTGACGTAAAAGTCAATGAATTCTTCTAAGCAGGTCTTGATTGGATCAAGACTATAAACGTCTGGCACACAACAGATAAGCGCTGTTATCTGTTATCGTCCAGCAAACCGTGCAACCTCGCTCTGTCCTCCCCATAAGCAGGGTCCAGACAGGGAGAAAAGAGACAACCGACAAGAAGGATGAAAGACAATCAAAGTAGGATCCAACATCTTGCCCCTACATTTAAAAAAATCTGTCAAAATGAGTTTGTTTTTATTAAAGGAGCAATATGTAAGATTTTCATGTCAAGTCATCATTAAAGGGCCCTATTCTGTCATCATTAAAGGGCCCTAATCTGTCATCATTAAAGGGCCCTAATCTGTCATCATTAAAGGGCCCTAATCTGTCATCATTAAAGGGCCCTAATCTGTCATCATTAAAGGGCCCTAATCTGTCATCATTAAAGGGCCCTAATCTGTCATCATTAAACCTTAAACCTACTGTTTTCCAATACTTCTTTAACTGATAACAGTAGTTCAGAGATATTTGAATTTCTAAATTACTTTTCCAGCCCTTAAATCTTGTTATTGTTGTTATTGTTTTCAATCAGAAAGTCTGTGATCCGGGCGCCAGAACTCACCATGTGGAGCTAATCTCACTGGTAAAGTACCATGTGGCGCAGAACTAAAAAAGGTCTCGTTATGATTCTCAAATCATTAACGACAAAACAAGGAATAAAACCAGGATTTCTATCTTTGTGAAAAAGGTGTTGGTTATAGATTTGTTGTTGACAAAACTCTTTGTCTATTCAGCTGTTATGGTCCCAGCTGGATTCGTCTGCATATCTGGCAACCTGAGTCAGGGAGAGTGGGAGAGGCTGCAGTACCACTTTTGGCCACATGTTTACACACTGCTCCTTTAACATGTGACTTCCCATTGACTGTATAAAGCCCATTGTTGAAGTAAATATCTAAAGCCTTTATCTTGTAGGTCTCACTGACTTCAATACAAACAAATGACTCTTTTTGTATTTTGGAGCAGATTTTTGTTACTGCGTTTGTGTAATCAGCGATCAGTGAGCACTCTGTCAGCTCCAGCCGATAAATCACAAGTGGAGATGGTCTGTTGTGACTCAGGTTTACTTCCTCTGTTTAGTTCCCTGTGAAGATAGAGGAGAATAGACGTGATGACTAGGCTCTCATTATCTCTGCTCTCATAATCCGGTTTGGTGGTAACTCATTATATAATTTGGTTAATTAGAAAAGGCTCATTTTAAACACAGCTACAAGATTGAATTGTGGAAAAATAGAAATAAATTATAATTCACACGTCAGTCTTTTTACCCAGACAACAAGATCAACATGAGCAAAACATAATTAACCTTTTCTGATCAAGATGTCGGTGGATTTATTCTTAATCAAAATAGAATGGACAAGATGGCCACGTTCTTTTTATCAATATGTATTAATATGGTTCTCAGCAGAGGTAGCGTCGTATGATTCTCTCTCTGGGTTGCCAGGTTCTGTATCCAGCGATGGAAAGTAGTTGGGATTAACTTTTTGAAACCAGTAAAAGCGCTGACATACTAATTTTGTGTGAAACAAAAAAGCTGAACATGGATTTTGGCTCAAATCCCGGTCGGAACAGGGTCTTTCTGAGTGGAGTTTGCATGTTCTCCCCGTGTCTGCGTAGGTTTCCTCTGGGTGCTCTGGTTTTCCCTACCACTAAAAACATGTACATTGGGTTAAATCCTCCAGCTCTGGTCCTGACCAAGCCGAGCATCAAGATAGATTCCCGGGCGCTGTTACTACGGCGACCACTGCTCCTGACGTAAGCCTTAGCGGCATCAGGATGGGTCAAATGCAGAGGATTGAATTGCCCTACAGGGATTAATAATGTGCACCTGTACCTTTAAATATTTCCTCCACAATCAAAAAACAGTTTGAAAAGCCGTATGCAAGCTACTATTGTTCATAACAAGAACACATTGGTTTTCACAGTGGACTTTTTTCCACTGACAAAATTAGACTTGGATAAAAATGTGTTTATTTAAGACAAAAGTTGAAAAAAAGTAACTTGACAGACTCAGTACAGAGGACAGGACATTTGTGGCAGCTTTAGGTCGACTTAACCTCGTGAACAAAGTAAGTATTCTGAAGTATTGTTTTAACTCTATTTCCTCAGTATTAACTCTCACAGAATATGAATCTTATAAACAGTTGCAGATACGGCAGATGGCGAAGGCAAACTGTTTATGTTCCCCCAAAAACAAAAGGTCAACTGTACATTATCTGGCGCTGCTAAGTGCATGACTTGAGTCTGTTCCAGATTTAGATAAAAGCCATAGATCTGACATCATTCAGAGCCCGTCATAGTTTGTCAAAGCAGGAAAATGTGCTCTCTCTGCGTTCTATAGAGTCTGTGGAGTGCTACAAAAGTCAACTTAAAACACATTATTTGTTCAAGCTTTTGCATAATTTCGTCTTGCTGTTTTTTACATGGTTGTCTTGGTCTTTAAAAATGACGTCTGTGTGTTGAGCACTAATCAGGAAACATCAAATATATGAATATGAAGAGAACATGCGTCGTAATTATACATTTATATGTTTGAGCAACTGTGTCCGCTGCTCTCACAAACACACCTGAGCCAGAGCGGAGCCAGAGCGAAGCCAGAGCGGAGCCTAATCAGACCGAGGCAGGACCCAGGCAGGACACGTCCGCTCCGTGATAAAGTCCGGACAGATGCTTAATGAAGGGAAGTGAAGCTTGGAGGTGTCGTGTTTCCTCCTGTCTTTGTCTGTGAGCAGAATACACTGAGGACATTTTTTTCTTCTTATTTTTGCCACTTTTATGAATGGGAAAATACAGATCCGTGTCTTCTTCATGTGTGCACTAACAGCCAATGATATGATGTAAACAGTCACAAAGACACTTTACCAATAATTAAGACATTATTTATCTGAAGTCTTCACCGAGTGTGAACAAAAGCAGTAACGATGAAGTCTTTTCTAACCAAAATAATATAAAGATTGTTGTTAAATGTTATGGGGAGAGTTTTCTGTCTTTACTTTTATACTTTTATATTCCATGTCTTAACTTGTTTGACTTTGACTTTGGGGAACAAGGATTTGTAAAACTTGTAAAAATTGCCTAAAATCTCTTTTTGTTTTTGAGCTATTTAATATTGTGTAAGTAATGGTTGGACAAAACACACACACACACACACACATACAGTACACATACACACACACACACACACACACACATACATACACATACACACACACACACACATACACACACACACACGCACATACACACACACACACGCACATACACACACACATACACACATACACACACACACACACACACATACATACATATAAATACATATACAGACACACAATGCGATCTATTTCAATTTTTGAGCTGTTTAATACTATATAAATAATGGGTGGACAAAACACACACAAACATACACATACACACACACACAGAAAAGATAATATTTTTAGTTTTACGCCATGATGATGGACGTACAGCCGTGACTCGGACCAGTATGTTTCTGGTGCAGTGAACGATGGAGTTGGGGAATTAGAGGAGGTTGGAGGGGAGGGGTGAGTCCCTATAAGAGCAGCAGCCACCAGCCTCCACGTAGCCACAAACACAACTGTCACTGACGAAGGAAAACACAGACTCATCCATCAACCTGCAAACCCCGGAGTCCACGGCGCACGCCACCGTCCCAGTAGGTAAGACCCCGGAGGACCACCACCTCTGACCCTACACCCACATTTACTGAAGCTTATGAGATGGTTCTATCAAGAGAAAAACTCAACTGTGATTTTAAACATTGCTTTAACTTTATAGATTTTAACACTAGCAATGAATTTACTGTTTTCACCTGCGGGTTAACTCGGCCGTTTTTGATGATTTCACTGACTCTGAAGAGCCACAGAATATTATCTCCTAAGCCTATGTGAAATATGAAGCCAGATTCTGAAAGACTGGATTGCCTACTTTAATCAGCAAAAATAAGTTTGTTTCTAGCTGTTTTTATTGTCCTGTTATCCCCAGTCGAATAGAGGGTCTCAGACAAATACGTCAATGGCAGTCAATGAGTTAATAATTCTAACAATGATTTATTTATTTTTTACAAATATCAGTGCGTCTCATAGAAGAGAAGGCTGCGCGTCACGTCCTCTTAAATCATGTAGAAGAAAAACTCAATACAAAACATAAGCAATGTGATTTGACTTTGATTACAAACATTGCTTTTGTCCATATAGATATTAAAATCAGAACCAGAATCAATGTATTGCCATTTGCAGAAAAACTACTTTAACTCTAGAAATTAATTCATAAATGGTCTGCTCTGGACATAAGCAATGTGTTAAAATCAAAGTGAAATCACATTGTTTATTTTTGAGTTTTTTTCTAGTACTACTCCATGATAGACCAGGACCAGACAAACTCTACAAAATATAAGCCATGTAGTTTAACTGCCATTGACGTTTTTGTCTGAGACCCTCTATTCGACCGGGGATTACAGGACCATAAAAACAGCTAGAAACAAACTTACTTTTGCGGATCAAAGTAGACAATCCCGTCTTTCAGAATCTGGTTTCATATTTCACATAGGCTTAGGAAAAAATATTCTGTGGGTCTTGAGAATCAATGAAATCATCAAAACCGGCTGTCAGTCAACTGTGATTTTAAACAGTGCTTATGTCCATATAGATTTTAACACTAGCAATGCATTTACTGTTTTCACCCACGGGTTGATAATCATAACAGTGTTTTTTAAAGTATCTGTGCGTCCCGTAGAGGAGAAGGCTGCGCGTCTTGTCCTCTTCAATCATGTAGAGGTAGTTTTTCTGATCCGCCAGAAAACATGGAGGGCAGAAGGTGAGGAGGGCGCTTCCACATTATTGTTGCGTCTCGTGATATTTAGTAAAAGGTCATAAATGGTCTGCTCTGATTAGTCAGACTTTGTTAAGGCTTGATTTACTCCAATCCTCGAGGGGTTTGGGAAACGAAAGCCGTCTCAAAAGAATGAAAAGAAGGGTTAAAGGACTTTCATATTTACACATTATCAGTACAGTAGTGAAGAGTGTATTTGAATGTACTTGAACTGGATCAATTGGGCACTGATCAGGATTGGGACGATCACAGAAATAATAATAAGCTCCGTGATGAAAAGAATTATGAGCAATCACTGAGAAAAGAGAGAATACAAAAAAGTCAAGACATTCACAAGTAAGATTACATAACATAGATTTTGGGCGGCACGTTGGCTGAGTGGTTAGCGCTTTTGCGTCTCAGCAAGAAGGTCCTGTGTTCAAATCCTGGTGGGAACAGGGTCTTTCTGAGTGGAGTTTGCACGTTGTCCCCGTGTGTGCGCAAGTTTCCTCCAGGTGCTCCGGTTTCCCCTACCACTAAAAACATGTGCAATAGGTCTGTGCCTCCTGTACTGGCCCCTCCCATCTCTGTGTGGAGTGAGAGACTAATGCCCACAATTGTAAACCGCTTCGACTCTGGTCTGAGAAAGGCGTTATATGAATAAACATTACATTATTGACATTTAAAAGCAAAACACATGTTAAAAAACACAGACATTATCATTATACAAAATGCAGCAGCTCGAATCCTGACTAGAACCAGGAAGTACGACCACATTAGTCCTGACTAGAACCAGGAAGTACGACCACATTAGTCCTGACTAGAACCAGGAAGTACGACCACATTAGTCCAGTCCTCAGGTCTCTGCACTGGCTTCCTGTGGCTCAGAGAATAGACTTTAAAACAGCTCTGCTTGTTACAAGTCTCTCCATAGCCTCGCACCAAAATATATTAGTGACATGTTAGTCCCATATGAACCAGCCCGGACTCTGAGGAGCACAGGGACTGGACTCCTGCTGGGACTCTGAGGAGCACAGGAACTGGACTCCTGCTGGGACTCTGAGGAGCACAGGGACTGGACTCCTGCTGGGACTCTGAGGAGCACAGGGACTGGACTCCTGCTGGGACTCTGAGGAGCACAGGGACTGGACTCCTGCTGGGACTCTGAGGAGCACAGGGACTGGACTCCTGCTGGGACTCTGAGGAGCACAGGGACTGGACTCCTGCTGGGACTCTGAGGAGCACAGGGACTGGCCTCCTGCTGGGACTCTGAGGAGCACAGGGACTGGACTCCTGTTAGTGCCCAGAGTCAGGACTAAACATGGGGAGGCTGCTTTTCAGATTCATGCTGCTAAAATCTGGAACAATCTTCCTGAAGATGTGAGACAGGCCTCCTCTCTGACAATGTTGAAAACCAGGTTAAAGACAGTTCTGTTTAGCTGTGCTACAACTGAGGGATTTTATATTTGTATCTTTCTTTTTAATGTTCTGTGATTATTTATGATTTTAATGCTTTCTTGTTTTGTTCAGCACTTTGAGTTGCCTTGTGTATGAATTGTGCTATACAAATAAACTTGCCTTGCCTTGCCTATATAAAGCTAACTTATACGTCTAATATTTGCACAACTTTTCTGAAGCGGCAGAATGGTGTTTCTCTCTTCATAAAGACGTGTAGAGAACAGGATTACTGATGGAAAGGCTCGGCTGATGCATGTATGGATTTCTCTTGTGGCTTTCTTCGTCCTCACAGCGTCCACCGCAGCAGGAGGTGGCAAAGTCTTTTATTCTCTTCCATGTCCAAGTGACCGAGTCTGTGTAATGGGAAGAGAGCCTATAATCTCAGAGTCAATCTAATAATAATAATAATAACAAAAAGAAAGCCTGAAACTCCACGACCATTTCCTTCATCTAGCAACCCAGGGAAAGTTCTTTTATTTTCATTTATGTATTTGTATTTAATTTTACTTTGGATTATTTTGGTGCACAAGGGACACACAGGGAGAAAAATTATGTGTAAAATAAGAGAAAATGTTGTGTCCATGATGTGATGAACATAACATATGTATGTGATCGATACAATAACAAGAACAAAATAATATAATAATAATAATTTAAAAAACTATTGGGCTGGACCATCACATCAAGACCCACAGGACCATGTGTTTGGTTGAATTTTAGGGCGAGATGAAAATAACATAAATAAATTGGCTCAATCTAAAGATAAAGGTGCACTTTATTAATCCCCCTAGGGCAGGCATGTCAAAGTCAAATACATCAGAGGGCCAAAAAAACATTTTTTCTACGCGCCGAGAGCCGGACTGGTTCAATGTTTCTCAACATCCAGAGGCAGTGCCGGTGACACCTGTTGGCTCGATAAAATATGCTCCAAAGCCAATCCTCATACTGTACATATTAGATGTAATAGACATCTGAGAACATGAAAATAGTAAAAAAAAAAAAAGCTCAAACTTGGTGAAATGTAAAAGAGCAGTCTGGACCTCTTTTCGGGGCGTTTTTTGATTAAATCTGCAGAATGGATTATACTTTGGGAACTACAAGTGGATGTTCTTCTTCAATGAACAGTTACGGAGAGAAAGCGACTAAGCAAGGATGGGGAACGTCTAATTTGTTGGAGCAGCAGAAGACGAAAGGTAAAAAACGAATACAGACGTGATTTATTTTGTGCCCATATTATGCGTCATATCTGTTTAATTCAAAGTCTGATATCGTTTACACTTACATATAAATATAGCTGAGAAAATAAGCTTTAAAATGATATATAGCTTGTGGCTTATGAAGTTCAAAATACATCTGCTATTGCCAGCAGATGTATTTTTTTCCTGGTTTGCTCCCGCCGGCGGGGGCTAGCGAGCTTAAGGGGTCAATACATTGCCTCAATGGCAGGCAATGTCCCGGGGGCCATAGATAATTCATTCGCGGGCCGGATTTGGCCCGTGGGCCTTGACTTTGACACATGTGCCCTAGGGCAATTCATCCTCTGCATTTGACCCATTCTGATGTCACTAAGGCTTACGTCAGGAGCAGTGGTCGCCGTAGTAACAGCGCCCGGGAACCCATCTCCAGATGTTGATGCTCGGCTTGGTCAGGACCAGAGCTGGAGGATTCAACCTAGTGAGCAGGGTTTTCTTGTGTGCTCACAAATCATTCAGTCTATGACACCAATGCATATCATTTATCATATATTTGTTTGTTTTTGAAAATATAAAAATGCAGCCAAAAATAAGACTAATACCTTTATGGCGTCAAAATATGAATACTTGACATTTGAGAGGATCCGATCTGCTCAACACTGTTTTGAAGGCAGCAGGTCAAAAAAAATAAAAACAGGTTCAGATTCAGGCCGTTTGCAGCAAAACCACATTGGAATACATTTGCAAAAGTCCCCAGAGTGCCCCAGACAAGTACTTACACTCAAAAGCAAAATGAGTTTATGTAATGGGCTTAACGTTACCTTTCAAATGTAGTTTCACTCAACAATAACCCTGGTTAAAACAATACTAGCTTGTTAAAGTGATAGTCTGTAACTCTAAATGAATTACACATTTTAAGAATTGTATTAAATTGACCTCCTGGCCTTAAATGTTGATATAAAATAAGTCATTTTCTTAATTCTAATATTACGGGTAAGTCCCGCCTTCCCTTCTCTTAGCTATAGCTCAGAATCCACTATGCCGTCCACGTTAACCAATCACGTGATGCCAAGGGCTGTCAATCATCGGCGCTGATGCTCATAATCATTTATATACTGAACCTATATCTATAATCATTTATATATGAACCTATATCCATAATCATTTATATATGAACCTATATCCATAATCAGATCCAGTTCATGATAATAGCACTTCCTGGTTTACCGCGATCGCTTTTTTGTGCATTAAAACATTATTTTTGTCATGAAAACGTTCACAAATAATTCTGAAAACCTCCGTGCATGTGTATTAATAATGTATATGTATTATGTGTTCTCTGATTAACATTTAAATGTGTTGATTGAAACGTAGGCGTAGACCAATCAGAAAGGAAGGGGGAGGAGCTTGGGTAGTTTTTTTTTTTCAATCACTTTAAGAATTTCTCCGTTGTGAGATCAATAAAGTCTATCTTGTCTTTTTTTGTCTTATGAGATGTAGATCAACAATAACAGGCCACACACAATAAAATAAAATAATAAAATGTACAAATAGAAATGACGCCCAAAAGGAGAAGCCAAGACATTCGCAAAATAGCTCCCAAAGATGCTGATTTTTCTCTATACATTTAGATTTATTATCAGGAAGAATGCAAAAAAGGCTCGATAGGTCCAAAATGTTGATTTGTAGAAAGATTTTAACACACATAACCTTTAGTGTTTCCTTTAGTGTTAATGTAGACGACTAATATATGTATAAATGATCAATGCTGTAATCTCCTGGAGGTTGTGGGGCTGTGGACACGTTAGCGGCTCCCAAAATACAGTCTGGACACCTGTGCAGACGGCTGTTCCTTTTTCCTTTTCAGACATCATCTGTTGATAAAATCTGATTTAAACTGCAACAATATCACTCACATAACAACATTCTGAATATTGTAAAGAAGTAGGGTGACCAACATGTAAAATCTGGAACGGACGCCTGAAGGATGCATAAAAATAATAATCATAAAAAGCGCAGTTCGTTTTTTAGCTTGTATAACCTGTGTTTTTGTGTTCTGATAACGGCACTAATGGCCTTCTCTCTTGTCTGTGTGGATAACATTGGTCATAAGGGGCATAAAAAAGGACAGATATGGGCGTCGTACATGGACTTAAAGATTTTCTACACGTCCAATGACCGGCTTGTAGTTAGAACAAATAAGACAATGTGGGTTGAGTGGGCATTGGACAAGTTGTCAGTCATGGATTTCTTTTGGCAGATAAACGGGGTCTGTTATCGTCGGCAAAAAAGTACAACATTTAATTACCTGTCAAACTGGCTCATCAACCAACAAAGGCGGCTTGATGATTATGCTTTAATTACTATCCTAAAATGCTAGTGCTTCTACGTCTGAAGAGCCACTTTTAAATTACTTTGCCGTCTTTATCAGATGGTCCAAGTTTTTATATATGCACGGGGTATTTGCTAACCCTGCAGTTTAGTTTAAAAATCTACCATGTAGTTTTGGTGTCCAGCCAGGCATGCTTAATCCAGCTTTAGGACACATTTGAAGCAGAGACTCAATTATTTTATATTGGCTGTCCTGATGAAAAATGTCTGTAAAGGCTGAAGAAATAATGGAGAAACATTTGCAATCACTCACTGTGTGTTCTCCAGGGAAATGCATTTGACTGGGATTTAGGTCTGTGCTTTAAACAGTGCTGGTTGGTGGAGGTCACATATGGGCACAGATGCACACACACGCACACACACACACACACACACACACATGCGCACACACACTGCGAAAGATAAAAAAAAAAAAAGGAAATAAATGCTTAAGTCAAGTGTTTTTTTTAATCTCCATTAGAGCACATTATTGCAGTCTAAAACACAATTTGCCATTGGGACAAGCAAAAAGGTCTTGTTTTAAAAAGATACAAGAAAATTCAAGAATATATTTCAGCAGCGCCTGAAAGTCCAAATGGCTTGTTCCGGCAAATCTGGTTTTTAAGACAGTCAGAATATACTCACAATAAGATAAAAAACCCTTGAATTGAAGCAAATGTTGTCATTTTTTGCAGTGCACACACACACACATACACACACATACACGCACATACAGACACACACACAAACACAGACACACACACACACAGAAACACACAAACACAGACACACATATACACAAACACAGACACACATATACACACACACACAGACACACACACACGCACACACACACACACACACACACACACACACACACGCACACACACACACACACACACACACACACACACACAGACACACACACACGGGTGTGGGTGGAGCAGGACGGGTCACAGCAGCAGAGGTGGAGTAGCCTCTGGGTGGAGCAGGACGGGTCACAGCAGCAGAGGTGGAGTAGCCTCTGGGTGGAGCAGGACGGGTCACAGCAGCAGAGGTGGAGTAGCCTCTGGGTGGAGCAGGACAGGTCACAGCAGCAGAGGTGGAGTAGCCTCTGGGTGGAGCAGGACAGGTCACAGCAGCAGAGGTGGAGTAGCCTCTGGGTGGAGCAGGACGGGTCACAGCAGCAGAGGTGGAGTAGCCTCTGGGTGGAGCAGGACTGGTCACAGCAGCAGAGGTGGAGTAGCCTCTGGGTGGAGCAGGACGGGTCACAGCAGCAGAGGTGGAGTAGCCTCTGGGTGGAGCAGGACGGGTCAAAAGGTGGAGCTTGGTTCAGACCATTTTCTCTGCTCTGGTCCAAAGTAAAATGCTGAATGCTTCATTAGCATTTTTCAAAAAGTTAGCATTCCTAAAGTTGCTTTGGCTCAGTGCAACGGCCAGAAAGAGAGGTAAGAGTAGAGAAGGCACAATAAAAAATAAAAAATAAAAATCACTTCTAAGGAATACATTTAAAATAGAGTATATACAATATACTCTTCTGTTGTATAAAAGTAGCTCTCCGAGACCCCTGCTCTACATTGTGTTATTATTAGTGATAGTTATATAGTTATAGTTATAGTTATTATCAAACGGTCACAGTGATTCGTTATAAAGTATGGATTCAGAACTGGCCGTGAAGTCATGAGTTGCAGCCGTTTTTAATCTTGGTTTGTGAATGGAAGCCACAGCTGGGCCTCGGCTCCGTAGCTCCTCATGCATTCCCTGCTGCAATGTCAGATGGGGAAAAAAACATAGGGATAAATGAGTGCACCCAAGCTGTCCTCCCTGCTGCCATCTGGGAATCACAGCCACCTCCCATCCATCCACAAACACCTCTGCAGCATCCTCCTTATTATTCCACATTTTTCAAATTCAGATTCATTTCATATGTCAATTGCAGTAAAACCCCATTGGAATACATCCGCAAAAACAAGGTTAAAAGTACAGAACTAAAACAAAACAAAAAATAATTGTCACTTTGAAATTGATTGACTAATTTGATCACACAGTATTACATATTTTTACATACACCAATATTAAAGTATATATGTGGATTTTTTACTTCCGGGTGGATCATCAAGACTATTGGTCCTCCCAACTGTCAATCATTCGGGTGATTTTTGTGCTCATCCAGAGAGTTTTGTTCATGTTAAGAGGGCGTTATTTTGTAATTTTGTTGTTGTAAAGTTTTCAATACTTTGAAAATCAGATTATTTCACATTGAGCCTTAGAAGAACATTGAGTCATAGAAGAATATTAACTCTAACTTTCAACTTTTTGTATAAATATAGTAAATGTGCACTTATTTTTTGTTTGATATTTTGTATTTAAGTGTTTGTATGTGTTTGCTTTTAGGTCGACATTTTAATCAGTCCCGAGACAACAGATGAAAAATAGCATTAACAGTCCTGTCAAACAAACAAATAAATAAATAAATAAATACATGTACTTCTTATGGACTGGTATTTTTAAGATACTTTCTCTTGTTATAGGAGGATTCTCTACTTCCGGGCGGATCATCGAGACTATTGGTCGTTAAATTAGACCAGAGAGTTTTGCTCAAAAAGTGGAGAGGGCGGTTCTTTCCTAAAAATTGGGAAAATCCTCCTTTATACGTTTAAGTTGAAGTGTTTAGTATCAAAGTCTTATATTCTCGTTTTCATTTCTCGTGTCTTGCAATAATTACACTGTAAAAACCACAAACACAAACTTGATTTGAATGCTTTGATTTGTGAATGGAGATTTTTTCCTTCTTTTTGTTGTACATTTCCTGTTGCCTGAGACTGTGATTTTTAAAGCCCCACGTGAGTAATATCAGCAGAACAAACGGTGACTCAAACAGTTGCCAGAGGCGTTAATTGAGGCATCAGTTAAAGCAGCTAACGAGTTTGTTCAATGAGATGAAAAGTCTCGGTGTGTCTCTGACGTCTTCACTTCGGGCTCATGCCACTCGCAGAAGGTCAAACCACTCTCATCTTTTTCTCCTGGATTTTCTTTAAACACAATTTCTCTATAGTATCGTTCATTTTCACAGCGGCTCAGACTCCTCCGTGTGTTTTTAAAGTTGGATGAAGTGTCATGTTGTTTGTGTGCAGGTGAGAGCAGAACGATGAGGACCACAGTGGCTCTGCTGCTGCTGCTCTGTCTCTGTGATGTCACACACTGCGACTGTCACAGCGACTGCCTGACCTGCGACAGCGTCCTGCCCAGACGCACACGCTTCAACACCATGGTGACTACAGAGGGAGGAGGAGGAGGAGGAGGATGAGGATGAGGAGGATGAGGACGATGATGAGGATGAGGAGGATGAAGATGATGATGATGAGGAGGATGAAGATGATGATGATGGGGATGATGATGAGGATGATGATGAGGATGAGGAGGATGAAGATGATGATGATGGGGATGATGATGATGATGATGATGAGGATGAGGAGGATGAAGATGATGATGATGGGGATGATGATGATGAGGATGATGATGATGGGGATGATGATGATGATGATGATGAAGATGATGATGGGGATGATGATGATGAGGATGATGATGATGAGGATGATGCGGATGAAGATGATGAGGATGGGGATGATGATGATGATGATGCGGATGATGATGAGGATGATGATGAGGATGAGGAGGATGAAGATGATGATGATGGGGATGATGATGATGAGGATGATGATGATGGGGATGATGATGATGATGATGATGATGATGAAGATGATGATGGGGATGATGATGAGGATGATGATGATGAGGATGATGATGATGATGATGATGAGGATGATGCGGATGAAGATGATGAGGATGGGGATGATGATGAAGATGATGAGGATGGGGATGATGATGAAGATGATGAGGATGGGGATGATGATGAAGATGATGAGGATGGGGATGATGATGAAGATGATGAGGATGGGGATGATGATGATGAGGATGATCAGGATGATGATGATGACGATGATAATATTAATAATAATTCACAATGATGATGATATTGAGGAGGATGATTAGAATATGATAATTAAATTAGTGATAATAATAATGATAATAATAATGTATTGGTTTTATTCAGCGTTTTCCAGGACTCTCAAAGTCTCTTCACATCATTATTCTCTCTCTCCAAACACTGTGGTGATAAACTACTACTGTAGCCACAGCTGCCCTGGGGCACACTGACAGAAGCGAGGCAACCAGTCTGTGCCATCAGCCCCTCCCACCACCACCAACCACTCACACACACACCAGACTCATTCTAATGTGGGGGAAGTGTCTTGCCTAAGGACACAATGGCAGTTTGACACTTTACAGCCGCAGCCGCCGCACTGTGGCATCAGTCCTAATATAAATGAATAGAACCTAAAAACCTAATTGTTCCCTCAATTTCAACAGTTAATTTACTCTGATACATAGTTTTGTCAATGGTCTATGTTATCAATAAATAAACAAGTTTTTCTCATTTTCATTTCCTCAGGTTTGTCTCATCGAGTGCGAAGGCAACGTCTCTCCGGCCTTTTCATGGGACTTTTGTCAAAAGGCGCTGCTCTCTCCGTTAGACGCTCTGAAAGGTTTGCAGAGAAAGAGGTCTGAGGAAGAGGTGGAGTCCCTCATTCCCGACGAAGAGCAGCCTCCGCACTCAGACCTGTTGTTACCCATGTCCTTACAGCGCTTCGACCACGTGATCCAGTCGTTCGGGATGGACCAGAGCGACGTGGGTGACACTGCATATGACTCCCAGAATGCTTTATCTCTGGAGGACAATATGGGCAGCATGGCAGGACCAGGCGATGTAGATCCAGGTGTGGCCACTAGGGGTCAGAGTGATGCAGGTTTGAGCGTCACGAAGAGGTTTGGGGGCTTCGTAAAGGGGCGGCATGGATACAAGAAGATCATGACCCCGGGAAGGTCCTATCAGAAGAGATACGGCGGCTTCATTGGCATTCGGAAGTCGGCCCGCAAATGGAACAATCAAAAACGTTTCAGCGAGTTCCTGAAGCAGTATCTCGAAATGAGTTCCCGAGCGACCGAGTTCAACAGCGTGTCGGAGGACCTCGCCGCACAAAGTGAAATCTAGCACGGTCTAGGTCCATCTAGTCGCCTCACATTATATATTTTCGAGCTGATTTCAATCATCAAGGTCACATGTTTCAAAAAGAATACACTTAAAGAATCATTGTTATGAATTACAGGTATAAAGGAGGATTTTCCCAGATTTTAGGAAAGAACCGCCCTAGTCACTTTTTAAACCAAACTCTCTGGTCTTATTGGACGAGCACGTATCACCAGAATGATTGACAGTTAGGAGGACCAATAGTGTTTGAGGATCCACCCGGAAATCCTCCTATATACCTTTAAGTGAATTTACTATTTTAACAAATTTGATTACAAGGAATGTAGGTATAGTTTGTAATATTTTGTGGTTTTGAGAATCCGACTGATCCAACACGATCAGTCGGCAATGTATTATTTTTTCCCAGGTACGAGAAAACCTGGTGTTAGGCTACTCTTTTAAAGGAGCAATATGTAAAAAATGTGGCCAAAAGTGGTACTGCATTCTCCCTGACTCAGGTTGCCAGATATGCAGAGGAATCCAGCTGGGACCATAACAGCTGAATAGACAAGAGTTTTGTCAACAACAAATCTATAAACAACACCTTTTTCACAAAGATAGAAATCCTGGTTTTATTCCTTGTTTTGTCGTTAATGATTTGAGAATCATAACGAGACCTTTTTTAGTTCTGCGCCACATGGTACTTTACCAGTGAGATTAGCTCCACGCGGTGAGTTCTGGCGCCCGGATCACAGACTTTCTGATTGGTGAAACAGTGGAGGGCGGGACATCGAAATGAAAACAATAACAAGATTTAGAGGCTGGAAAAGTAATTTAGAAATTCAAATATCTGTGAACTACTGTTATCAATTAAAGAAGGATTGGAAAAGAGCAGGTTTTATTAATGCCTTTTGACAGATTAGGGCCCTTTAATGATGACAGATTAGGGCCCTTTAATGATGACAGATTAGGGCCCTTTAATGATGACAGATTAGGGCCCTTTAATAATGACAGATTAGGGCCCTTTAATGATGACAGATTAGGGCCCTTTAATGATGACAGATTAGGGCCCTTTAAGGATGACAGATTAGGGCCCTTTAATAATGAAAGATTAGGGCCCTTTAATGATGACTTGACCTGAAAATCTTACATATTGCTACTTTAAGAAAGCTTTGTTTGGAGAATTTCTTTGAACACTTTGTTTTATAAAAATGTCTTCATGATGGTTTATGGGGAGACATTATGTGAGTCTGTTTTTGTCATAAACTCATGTCAAATGTTTGAACACGGAACAAAACAGTATAAATGAAATGTAGTGGTGTGTGGTGTTTTAGTGAAGACAGATGTAAATATTTGTATTTAAATAACGTCAATAAAAAAAGTTTACTATTTTGTTTGTGACTTGTCATGCAGCAACTAATTATGTGTCTTGGGTTATTTTTGTGAAACATTTTCAGTTTTCTCTGGAGTCATAATGTGACCCGTTTGCTCTCATCTCGAGGCAGTAGGACACAGTTTATGAAAAAGGTGCTGTGTATCTTACAAATCTATATTTCTATCTTGTATATCTTGAGTCCAAATCACAGTCAACAGATCCATAGTAAACTCTTTCTCTCTCTCTAATAAAGAAAGCAAACATTAAACTACCAAAATCATATAAAAGCTGTATCATCATTACAAAATATTAGTAATGAATAGTAATGTATATAGTTAAATAATGTGCTGGTATGTATATTATAATCATTCATTTCTTCATCTGGTTACACTATATAAGGTTGCAATGATAAGTAAACAGCACCACGCTGTGGTCATTCAAGTAACTGCTCTTCAAGGTCGTTTACAGGAGGATTTTATTTCCGGGTGGATCATTCTGGTGACACGTGCTCGTCAAATAAGATCAGAGTTTTGTTCAAGTGGAGAAGGCGGTTCTTTCCTAAAATCTGGGAAAACCTTTATATCTTTAAGTGAGTTTTATAGTTTAAGATTAAGTTCATACACAATTTATTGAATCATTCATTCAATCCAATCCACTTTATTTATATTGCACATTTTATAAAACACGTTTCCAAAGTGATGCAGAGATAAAACTAACACTTTTAAAATATACAAGTCTGCCAGCTTTAAACAAAAACAATTAAAATAAAATAAAAACACATAAAACAGATATCTAGATACATAAATAAACATAAAACAATTAAAAACAATAAAATAATTCAAATAAATAAAATAAATAAATAATAGTAAAAACATTGTAATCATTGAGTTATAGGTTATTACAGATGTTTACAGTGCGTCACAACTTCAAAATAGACAACAATTTCGGTGAATATTTTTATTCATGTATATTAATTTCCTGATAGGGCTCATCCATCCATCCATTTTCTACCCTTTAATCCATTTCTGGGTCAGGGGGGTGGCAGTCAGAGATGCCACCCAAGTCTCATAGCACCAGCCCCTCACTGACCCTCTGCAGGTGGTGAGTCCACAGGAGGACGGCTGCTCTCTGAGTGTGAGCATAGCCTTGATCTTTCAGTGGGGGCTTTGGGCAAAGTGGGGTTAAGTGCCTTGCCCAAGGACACAACAAGGTGTAGAGGTGGGAATAGAGGTGTAGAGGTAGAGGGCTCATAATACACTGAAAGTCAATCAGCCAAACGCTTAATACACAATATTTGTAGACGACGCCATTAACCTGGCCCTCCACCACATCCTACAGCACCTGGACTCCCCGGGGACCTACGCCAGGGTCCTGTTCGTGGACTTCAGCTCTGCCTTCAACACAATCCTGCCATCCCTGCTCCAGGACAAGCTCTCCCAGCTCAACGTGCCCGATTCCACCTGCAGGTGGATCACTGACTTCCTGACGGACAGGAAGCAGCGAGTGCGTCTGGGGAAGAATGTCTCGGACTCTCGGATTATAAATACAGGAGCCCCACAGGGCTGTGTTCTTTCTCCCCTGCTCTTCTCCCTGTACACCAACCACTGCACCTCCAGCCACGACTCCGTGAAGCTGATCAAGTTCGCGGACGACACCACCCTCATTGGACTCATCTCCAACAACGATGAGTCCGCCTACAGGAGGGAGGTGGACCGGCTGGTGTCCTGGTGCAGTGGTAACAACCTGGAGCTGAACGCCCAGAAGACAGTGGAGATGATTGTGGACTTCAGGAAGAGCACTGTCCCCCCGCCCCCACCCTCCGTGATGGACTCCCCCATCACCAGGACCTCAAGTGGGAGCCGACCATCAGCTCCCTCATCAAGAAGGCCCAGCAGAGGATGTACTTCCTGCGGCAGCTCAGGAAAGCCAAGCTGCCTGCACAGATGTTGGTGCAGTTCTACACGGCCATCATCGAGTCCATCCTCACCTCCTCCTTCACCTCCTCCATCACCTCCTCCATCACCTCCTCCATCACCTGCTCCATCACCTCCTCCGTCACCGTGTGGTTCGCTGGAGCCACAGTCAGGGACAAACAGAGACTACAGCGCATTGTGCGCTCTGCAGAGGAAGTGATCGGCCGCAGCCTTCCATCGCTGCAGGACCTGTACGTCGCCCGAGCTCGAGGCCGGGCTGGTCGTATCACAGCCGACCCCTCTCACCCTGCACATGGACTATTCCAACCACTCCCCTCTCACCTGCACATGGACTATTCCAACCACTCCCCTCTCACCTGCACATGGACTATTCCAACCACTCCCCTCTCACCCTGCACATGGACTATTCCAACCACTCCCCTCTCACCCTGCACATGGACTATTCCAACCACTCCCCTCTCACCTGCACATGGACTATTCCAACCACTCCCCTCTCACCTGCACATGGACTATTCCAACCACTCCCCTCTCACCCTGCACATGGACTATTCCAACCACTCCCCTCTCACCTGCACATGGACTATTCCAACCACTCCCCTCTCACCTGCACATGGACTATTCCAACCACTCCCCTCTCACCTGCACATGGACTATTCCAACCACTCCCCTCTCACCTGCACATGGACTATTCCAACCACTCCCCTCTCACCTGCACATGGACTATTCCAACCACTCCCCTCTCACCTGCACATGGACTATTCCAACCACTCCCCTCTCACCTGCACATGGACTATTCCAACCACTCCCCTCAGGCAGGAGGCTGCGGTCCATCAGGACTAGAACCTCCCGCCACAAGAACAGTTTCTTCCCCGCTGCTGTTGGACTCTTGAACACTTCTTAACCTGTCCCCCGCCCTTTATAAAGTCACTTTACTGCCCATCATACGTCACTTTACTTCACTGTACTGCTGTCACCTTACATTGTGTGCACCATGTGCACTTGTATATTGTAAATAGTAACTGTAACTCTATTTTAAATTTAAATTTATTCCTTAGAAGTTTTTTATTCTTTATTTTTATTATCTCACTCTGACTGTTGCACTGAGCCAAAGCAATTTCCAAGTCTGTGACTTCCTGTTACTTACGTGGCAATAAAAATGATTCTGATTTACAGTCCATGGTAAACCACAGTCAGAGTTTGTTTTATTGTGAAGGGGAGACGTCCAAACCGGAAGTCCAGTTTTCACACGTGAATCTGCAGCTTCATATTAACAGTTTATGGGAAAACTGAGCATAACACAAGTTTTTCATCACAAGAATCATCACAAGACTTTGATTTCTGCTTGGACCTGCTTTCTGTCATTTGGGTGAGTTCTGCAGCTTCATTTAACGAGGATGACGAGGGCTGTTTGTTGGAAGTGAAGCAGAGAATACAGACGCCAGTGTTAGCTACAGCGAGCTAACAGCTACATATCATGTTAGAGTTAGTTATCTGTTATTACTCTGTTATTGGGCCTTTGCAAGAGGAGTGTTAGGACCTTATCAGCATAAAGCTTCTGTAAGAGCATTTCTTTGAGTTGACATGTTGTGGATTCTGAGACAGTGGTAGGGTTAGCAGCAGGAGGAGGAGCAGCAGCAGCAGGGGGAGCAGCAGCAGGAGGAGGAGCAGCAGCAGCAGGGGGAGCAGCAGCAGGAGGAGGAGCAGCAGCAGCAGGGGGAGCAGCAGCAGGAGGAGGAGCAGCAGCAGCAGGGGGAGCAGCAGCAGGAGGAGGAGCAGCAGCAGCAGGGGGAGCAGCAGCAGGGGGAGCAGCAGCAGGAGGAGGAGCAGCAGCAGCAGCAGTAGCAGCAGGGGGAGCAGCAGCAGGAGGAGGAGCAGCAGCAGCAGCAGCAGGGGGAGCAGCAGCAGGAGGAGGAGCAGCAGCAGCAGGGGGAGCAGCAGCAGGAGAAGCAGCAGGAGGAGGAGCAGCAGCAGCAGCAGCAGCAGCAGGAGGAGGAGCAGCAGCAGCAGCAGGAGGAGGAGCAGGGTTATTACAGTAGGACAGTGACAGCTGAAGGACTGTCCATTTGTGTTAACCTTGTTGGGTTTCTAGGCCCTCTCATTGACTTTGCCACTTTAACCTTTATATTTCACCTTTTACAGCCTTTATAATTAACCTCAACAAAACAAACAAGAAGTTTATTTTCAGAAAGAATCAAGTTAAACTATGGTTGAGGTCCTATATTTGCATCAGCCTGTCTGTAACTCCTCCTTTGCCTCTCTCTTTAGCTTGTGGCCAAACACACAGTATGTGCAGCTGTGTACGGGGCTCCAGGGCTCTGGTCCCTGCCATGCTGCCGAGGCTTCTGCAACCACACACGGGCTACGGACTCAGTGGCAGGACGCTGTGGACCTCTCCCTCCTGGAGGGCTGGCAATGTAGACCCCCAGCTGCTTCCTTTGCCTGGCCAGGCCCGTGTAGTAATCTGTGGGGGAGGCATTGTTGGGACATCAGTGGCATATCACTTGGCCCGTCTGGGTTGGACTGATATAGTTCTTCTGGAGCAGGGCAGGTAACCACAACATGAACACAATATGAGAATGTTTTTTTTCTCTTTTCTTCAAATACACTTTTACTTTATCGATTCCTGTCATTGCAGACTTGGCGCTGGAACAACCAGACTGAGTGCAGGCATAGTTAGTGTTGCAAAGCCTATTTCCATAGAGTGTCACATGGCAAACTATTCCAACACTCTGTACAGGCAGCTTGAAGAAGAGACGGGGGTTAACACAGGTGGGTCTTTCTCCTTTCATACTACATTATATGGTATCATTACATCATTTTGATTTTCTAGGGTATGTGAAGACTGGATCATTGTGCCTTGCCCAAAATCAAGATCGATTCATTTCTCTGAAACGTTTGGCTTCCAGACTCAGGTAAACAGAAATTAAGAGAGATAGAAATTCATTACTTTCATTTTCTAATAAATATATGTCTTGTTGTTTTAGAGTAATGGGCATCAACTGTAACATAATCAAGCCAAAGGATGTCACCAAACTCCATCCACTCGTAAACATCCATGACTTAGTGGGAGCTCTCCATCTTCCAGACGACGCAGTGGTTTCTTCTCCTGACGTTAATCACGCTCTTGCTGTGGCAGCTGCTGGACACGGTTTGCTCACTTTACTTTCATAAAAGGGCTGCACAATATCGTAAATGTATTATTGTTATTATCACAAATGGTGTCCCGGCCCTAAGTTAAATGTACTCTTTGATCCAGGAGTCCAAATTCTGGAACGAACCACTGTCCAGCAAGTAGTGGTGGAGAAAGGACAGGTGGTGGCTGTTGAGACCGATCGAGGCTCCATCGAGTGCGAATACTTTGTCAATTGTGCAGGACAGGTGCGTTTTTGTTACTTTTTATAGTATATGAATGGTAGATAATTGAGTATCCATTGTGATGCACGAAGGTAAATACTAGGAAAGAAAATTCTATTGTATTTCTTTTGTTTTATATGATATGGGCACAAAAGAAAAAAAAAAACAGAAGGCATTTAATATTTTTAATTTAACCAAAAACCCCAAATTAGAAGTTACTAGAAAAGAACGGTTTTATAAATTAGTCAGGTTTCCTACAGCTGGTCTATTTATTTTTGTAACGGACCTGATCCTTTGAATGAGCTGAAGTTTGTTACATATTTTCAGATCCATATTTGATTAAGAGATTTTTTTTTTTACACAGAGTAGAAACAAATTGATACTTTCATATTAAACCCATTAATCTTTGTCTGCCTTTGACGTTTTAAAAGATCAAGTGCGTTTTTCACTGTTTTAATGTTTCCAGATGTCTATTATATCTATTATGTTTGGGGATTAGCTTTAGACCATATTAAATCGAGCCAGCAGGTGGCAGCAGCGCTGCCTCTGGTTGTTATGAAAACAGGACGCACTTGTTGCACCTCTTTTTCTCAGCTTTTTGTCTGAAACTGTTGCTTTCAGTAAAACTTCCCACTACTCGAACGGGGATTACAGGGGAACCAAACAAGCTTGAAACAAAATAATTTTTTCTGGTGAAAGTAGACAGTCCATTCTTTCAGAATCTGGTTTTGGATTTCAGATAGTCATAGTACACAATATCCTGTGGGTCTTGAAGGCAAGAAACTGCTGGCAAAATGGGAGTACCTGTTCTGAAATGGGCTGGCAGGCAATGAGTTAAACCAGACCATTGTTTTTTTTTTCTCAAATTATTTTTTGTTAATAACATTTATGGAAACCGTCACGTCTGTTACACATCTTTTGTGTTAATGTGAATCTGTGGACTTCATCTTTGTCTCTGAGTCACAGTAACATCAGAGGCGGATTTGGTTGTTGAAAATGTGGCCAAAAATGTTATTGTCAATCTTTTTATTTTATTTTATCCCCACTGTCTTTGTGATATGTCTGTGTCTATCTTATAATAATTGACCCTTTTCTGTGAAACACCCACATTCTTGTCTTCATTGTTGATTTGTTCAGTGGGCCTACGAGCTCGGACAAGCCAGTGAGACCAAAGTGTCTATTCCTCTTCATGGATGTGAGCATTTTTATCTCCTGACCAAACCCGCTGCAGATCCAGTCCAGTCCAACACCCCGGGTAACATAACAAAGCCTGTATAAAAACATGGTGGTGATGTTTTTCTTCATAAACGTCTTGTCTTTGAAACAGTCATTCTTGACATGGATGGGAGGATTTATGCTCGACCGTGGCAGGGAGGAATACTCTCAGGAGGGTTTGAGAAGAATCCAAAACCCATTTATACTGAAGGTCGCAACCAGCTGGAGATCCAGAACATGCAGGAGGACTGGGACCACTTTGGTGAAGGGACTTTTATTTCTCAATGACATTTGAGCTTTGCACTTACACTGGAGGCGGCACGGTGGCTGAGTGGTTAGCAATTACATGATGAAATGTTTTTGTCCTTAAAAATTGAAGCATAACTTTTTTAAAATCATGTTCACTGTATCCAAAGAGATAATTTATATTTTCAGATTCATATTTCCCCGTCTCGGTTTTTCCCGCAGAGCCGATGCTGAGTGCACTTCTGAGGAGAATGCCCAGTCTAGAGTCTGCAGAAATCCAGCAGCTGGTCAACTGTCCAGAGTCGTTCACTCCTGACATGCGCTGCCTCATGGGGGAGACTCCCAGTGTGTCCGGGTACTACGTCCTCGCTGGAATGAACTCGTCAGGGGTGGCTTTTGCTGGAGGAGCCGGGAAGTATGTTATTACCATGGTAGATATTTATATATGTGTATTTTTGTACCGTTGTAATGTTGTGGCTCTGTCAGGTACTTGGCTGAGTGGATGAGTTATGGATATCCCACGGCTAATGTGTGGCCCCTGGACATCAAGCGCTTTGGGAACTTACAGAGCAGCAGAACCTTCCTGCGACACAGAGTCATGGAAGTCATGCGTAAGTGCAAGTCAAGTAAATACAGAGAGAGACCAGAGAGAGAGACTAGAGAGAGAGACCAGAGAGAGAGACCAGAGAGAGAGACCAGAGAGAGAGACCAGAGAGAGAGACCAGAGGGAGAGACCAGAGGGAGAGACCAGAGAGAGAGACCAGAGAGAGAGACCAGAGGGAGAGACCAGAGGGAGAGACCAGAGGGAGAGACCAGAGGGAGAGACCAGAGGGAGAGACCAGAGGGAGAGACCAGAGAGAGAGACCAGAGAGAGAGACCAGAGAGAGAGACCAGAGAGAGAGAGACCAGAGAGAGAGAGACCAGAGAGAGAGAGACCAGAGAGAGAGAGACCAGAGAGAGAGACCAGAGAGAGAGACCAGAGAGAGAGACCAGAGAGAGAGACCAGAGAGAGAGACCAGAGGGAGAGACCAGAGGGAGAGACCAGAGGGAGACCAGAGAGAGAGACCAGAGAGAGAGACCAGAGAGAGAGACCAGAGAGAGAGAGAGACCAGAGAGAGAGAGACCAGAGAGAGAAACCAGAGAGAGACCAGAGAGAGAAACCAGAGAGGGAGACCAGAGAGGGAGACCAGAGAGAGAGACCAGAGAGAGAGACCAGAGAGAGAGACCAGAGAGAGAGACCAGAGAGAGAGAGACCAGAGAGAGACCAGATACATACAACATATACACAGTTGCAGGATATATACACAGCTGCAGGACATACACACAGCTGCAGGACATACACACAGCTGCAGGACATACACACAGCTGCAGGACATACACACAGCTGCAGGACATACCCACAGCTGCAGGACATACCCACAGCTGCAGGACATACCCACAGCTGCAGGACATACACACAGCTGCAGGACATACACACAGCTGCAGGACATACACACAGCTGCAGGACATACACACAGCTGCAGGACATACACACAGCTGCAGGACATACACACAGCTGCAGGACATACACACAGCTGCAGGACATACCCACAGCTGCAGGACATACCCACAGCTGCAGGACATACCCACAGCTGCAGGACATACCCACAGCTGCAGGACATACCCACAGCTGCAGGACATACCCACAGCTGCAGGACATACCCACAGCTGCAGGACATACACACAGCTGCAGGACATACACACAGCTGCAGGACATACACACAGCTGCAGGACATACACACAGCTGCAGGACATACACACAGCTGCAGGACATACCCACAGCTGCAGGACATACACACAGCTGCAGGACATACACACAGCTGCAGGACATACACACAGCTGCAGGACATACACACAGCTGCAGGACATACACACAGCTGCAGGACATACACACAGCTGCAGGACATACACACAGCTGCAGGACATACACATAGCGTATACCCGTCTATGAGATGTTGTGTGATCTTTGCAGCTCTTCTGTATGAGCTGAAGGTTCCTCGATGGGACTTCCAGACGGGGCGTCAGCTCAGGACCAGCCCTTTGTACGACCGTCTGGACACACAAGGCGCTCGGTGGATGGAGAAACATGGCTTTGAAAGACCCAAATACTTTGTTCCTCCAGGAAAAGGTACGAAAGATGATCCTTTTTGTTCTAATATCTACTTTTGAAAAGGTTGAACAGCTGTGAAGAACCTTTTAGTTTAGTTCAGTTTAGTTTAGTTCAGTTTAGTTTGTTCCAAGCCGGTACAACACAACACAAGAAGAGAAGAAACACATTATGATGCTATACAATATTAACGCACCATTACAACTTCTTTCCACAAAGAAGAGAAAAAGAAACAGCTCAGACGGGACTGGGATGAAGCTAACAGCACATAGCACTTTATACAAACTTTTGCACTTTACAACATTTTTTGTTATTTTTTTGTTCCTTTTTTATGGTAGTAGCAGTAGCATTAGTAGTAGTAGCAGTAGTAGTAGTAGCAGCAGCAGTTGTAGCAGTAGCAGTAGTAGCAGCAGTAGTATTAGTAATAGCAGTAGCAGCAGCAGTAGCAGTAGCAGCAGTAGCAGCAGTAGTAGCAGTAGCAGCAGTAGCAGCAGTAGCAGCAGTAGTAGCAGTAGTATTAGTAATAGCAGTAGCAGCAGCAGTAGCAGTAGCAGTAGCAGTAGCAGCAGTAGTAGCAGTAGCAGCAGTAGCAGCAGTAGTAGCAGTAGCAGCAGTAGTAGCAGTAGTATTAGTAATAGCAGTAGCAGCAGTAGTATTAGTAATAGCAGTAGCAGCAGCAGTAGCAGTAGCAGCAGTAGCAGCAGTAGCAGCAGTAGCAGCAGTAGTAGCAGTAGCAGCAGTAGTAGCAGTAGTATTAGTAATAGCAGTAGTATTAGTAATAGCAGTAGCAGCAGCAGTAGCAGCAGCAGTAGCAGTAGCAGCAGTAGCAGCAGTAGTAGCAGTAGCAGCAGTAGCAGCAGTATTCATAATGTATTTTATGTATTCTTAATGCAGATATAATTTAAGAAACAAAGCTCAAAAGGAGAAGGCAATTTCAATAATGTGATTTCACTGCGTCTGCCTGTCTTCTAGACCAACTACCCCTGGTGGGACATTAAAGAGTTTAAAGTGTTAGTAACTTCCTGATGTTTTCAGACCTTCTCTCCCTGGACCAGAGCAAAACCTTCTACAAACCCGACTGGTTTGACATCGTAGGAGCTGAAGTGAAGTGCTGCAAAGAGGCCGTGTGTGTCATCGACATGTCGTCCTTCACCAAGTTTGAGCTCAGTGTAAGTGCTCCCAGTGCTACCTTCACATTCTGTTTCAAATACTACATTTCTATAAAATACTGTGGCAGTCAACAGGAGACCAAGCCCTGATGCTGCTTCAACACCTCTGTGCCAACGACCTGGATGTTCCGGTCGGACACATCGTACACACCGGGATGCTGAACGAGAGAGGGGGCTACGAGAACGACTGCAGCGTGGTCCGAGTCAGCAAGAACAGGTACCACCGCTTTACCGCAGCAGCAGGTGGTGTGGTGGATACATATTTTCACATATAACTGACAATAACTCGTACCTGGTTCGAAAAGGAGATGGATGAAGTAGGGATGTAAAAAACTATGAATTTTCATGACCGACCACCGAGCCTCATTAACCGGTTGAAACCGGTTAACCGCGTAGTTTAAAATAGTCCACGTTCTTTGAAATAACAGCCATTTCGAGCTGCGTACTTTTCATATGTGCAGCTGAGCGTTCTAATGGATCAGAGCCGAGACAGCGGCACCAAAACCCGCAACAGCTTCGGCACCTTTGCGCACAGAGAACTGCTGTTTTAATCTTAGCAAATAGGGCTTAAAATAGCGTTATGAAGAGACCTCCCCTCTCCCCTTTTTCTCTTTTTTAACCGACAGCTTTGACCGGTTAACGCTGTGACGGTCAACCACCGGTTAAACGGTCACCGATATACATCCCTAGGATGAAGAAAGTGCAGTGTTTTAAAGAGCGACTAAACACCAAATCATTAACTCATCGACTGCCAGCCCTTTCTGATGATGTCACAAATTTTCAAGACCCACAGAATATGATGTGCTATGAATATGTGAAATGTGAAACCTGATTCTGAAAGACTGGACTGTCTACTTTCATCAGCAAAAATACGTTTGTTTCTGGCTATTTTTGTTGTCCTGTAATCCCCAGTGGAATAGAGGGAAGTTTGACAGAAATCACCATTCTCAAACAAATACGTCAATGGCAGTTAATGAGTTAAATTAACTCATAAACTGCTTAATTATGTTCATTGTTGTGCTCTCTACATATCTTGGACATTTTTTTTGACATTTTAGTGCAAATTAGATAAAATCTCACTTTTGAGCCTCAAAAGGTCTGTGTGGCGCTCAGTGTGGGCGGGTCCCAGCTCAAAAGTGGCCAAAATGACGTGCGCTGACATGCTGCAATACCACCCCGGGCCTGTGGGGGTGGACCCAGAAGAAGAATTAGCCAATGCTAACATATAGCGTTGGCAGACCTCTCAAAAACTTCTTTACAGGATGGACCAAAAGTTGGTTCTTGGCCCAAAGCTCCGTTCCACATGTGTGTCAAGGCTGAGTGTTCTGGTCCACTCTAGTTTAGTCGCTGTGAATTTTTGAAGTCTCTCGTTCAAATGAATGGAGCTGCGCCGGCTGACACATGCGCAAATGCGTTTTTTCACAATTTTTTTGTGGGCGGGACCACTTGCGGCCATTTTGGATTGCTCCAGTAGAGCACATTTTTTGGCCCATTAGTTAGAACGGCGGAGATAGGCCTGACTCTGTCCGTTAATATATACAGTCTATGGTGGCGCCCTCTCTACCTTTTTGGTGGTACTACTTCTGGCGACATCTAGTGGATTAATATTAAATTACATGAGTTGAAGCCACTGCTGCTGAGATAATTCAGTGACTTAGGTTCAGGTGTGTAGCTCTACAATTATCTTAGTGCGTAAACAAAGGAATGAGACTTTCTGGTCTGTAAACTATTGCTTTAAGCAGCAATAACAACTGTCTGTTTTTTTTTTTGTGTGACAAGTGAGCTGTCAATCACAGCCCAGACCACGCCCAACTTTAAGCCCCCCTTCTTGTCCCTTGGTCCTCCAGGCAACGCCCTTTTTAGAGAAAATATTCAAATGTTCATGTGGGCGGAGTCAGGCTGGGCACAGGTGATTAGTCGCTCTTTAACAATATCATGCTGTAGAACTCTTAAAAATACAACGGTACATTACAAACAGTTATACAATACTACCACCGATGGTATAAGACAGACAACACTAAACACACACACTGACAACACACGCACACTGTGACAACACACACACACACTGTGACAACACACAAGCCCAAACACTCTCCGACCTCAAGGCATCACTCTCTTACTTCCACATATTTGTTCAATAAATCTTTTTAATCATTCTTTTTTAATGTGATCAGGTTTGAGCAGGACTCTTTGACTGCCATTGACGTATTTGTCTGAGACCCTCTATTCGACTGGAGATTACAGGACAATTAAAACAGCTAGAAACAAACTTATTTTTGCTGATTAAAGTAGACAATCCAGTCTTTCAGAATCTGGTTTTGTATTTCACATAGTCTTTGGAAATCTTATTCTGTGGGTCATGAGAACGAGTGAAATAATCAAAAACAGCCGGCAGTCAATGACTTAATTATAGATCTTTCCAAGCAGCGTGTTACATTTGTCTTGTTTCTGTAGTTTCTTTATAGTCTCCCCAACAGACCAACAAGTTCACTGTTGGTCCTGGATTAAAAAACACATGCCCAACGATCCACATCTGCACCTTGAAGACGTCAGCTGGAAGTACACAGGTAACAGAACAGTACAACCCACGGCCCAATCCCACTTTGACTCAATCGCCTCTTTTTGTGCTGTGTGTTCATGTGATAACGATTGACAAGAATATCCTGTAAAAACGTGTCTTAAATGTGTAAAATGTCTCAATCTTTCTTTTGTAAGCTCTGAATTTGATTGGACCACGTGCGATGGATGTACTGGCAGAGTTGTCGTATGTTTCAATGACACCTGACCACTTCCCTTCAATGTTCTGTAAGGTATGCAACCGACAAATATCATGTACAGCATCATGATGAGGTCTGCGGACCCCCCCAAAAAAAATGGCACATCTCACAGGACTTTTCCACTTGATAAAATAATGTGATTTGTTTGATTTTGCTTCCACTCACAGGAGATGAGTGTGGGATATGCTAATGGGATCAGAGTAATGAGCATGACTCACACTGGGGAGCCAGGCTTTATGCTGTACATTCCTATTGAGGTAAGAATATGTCCAGGTTTAATATCCAGCTCAATACCTGTGACTTTGGAACATGTCTTTGTTGCTCTAACATCGAAACAAACAGACTAAATGTCCTCCATGTCTTTCACAGTACGCCCTTCATGTGTACAATGAAGTGATGTCAGTCGGACAGAAATATGGGATTCGTAATTCTGGATACTACGCTCTGCGTAGTTTGAGAATTGAAAAATTCTTTGCCTTCTGGGGTCAAGACCTGGATGCCTTCACTACTCCACTGGAGTGTGGACGGGAGTTCAGAGTAAAGTTTGATAAGGTTTGTACCGGTGTCACACAACAGTGGGACCACAGAAAGTCTGATTGAACTGAAGATTTCAGATTTGATGGTTCTCCTCCTTCTTTTAGGACACAGATTTTCTTGGTCGTGAAGCTTTACTCAAACAGCGACAGGAAGGTGTGACTCGACGGTTCGTTATGCTCGTTCTTGACGACCATGACACAGAGCTGGACCTGTGGCCCTGGTGGGGGGAGCCCGTCTATCGTAATGGTCAGCTGGCCGGTACCACCACCAGCAGTGCGTACAGCTACACACTGGAGCGTCATGTGTGTCTGGGTTTTGTGTCTCCTCCTCCGGGCCCAGAGGGGCTTCCAACAGCCATCACTGCAGACTTCATCAACAAAGGGGATTATGAAGTGGACATTGCAGGCCAGCGATACCCAGCCAAAGCCAAACTTTATCCATTCAGTTCACTCTTCACTCAACAAAAACGCCGCAAAGACGAACTGGAACTGGGAAACCTTCAGGGAAAATGAAGATCAGATCGCAGACCCGTCCATGGGTTCGTAGGCACTCCTAATTCACCAAATCCACTCCTGCTAAAGATGCACAGTGACATTATTTTCAGTTGTCCACTCAAGTTGTGTTGCAACTTCAGTATGTCCTTCTCAAAGTGCAATATCAGAATATTATTGGGCACTTTTCCCTTTCTGTCAGACTTCCTCTAAAGTGCCTTTATTAAGGCAACGTCAGCACAAGCTGCTGAGAATTGTCACTTTACTTTTGCTTTTAGTTTATTTATTTGTTCTTTGTGTAAAATAATACACGACTGTACTTGAGCCGGTTGCCAGGTCAGGTTGTGTTATTATGTCACATTTACCATATCTATAGGAGAGAGAGATCGTCTGCATCACTGTGGTGCTATTGGTTAAGTTCAAATGTTGTCAACTCCATGAACAAAACTAATCAACACAAGTGTGTTCCATGTTTCCAGACGGGAAGTAGCCTTTTAAAGCGTCCAGTTTTTCTTGCACAATGTTTAGTTGTTGTATTAGTTATGCCGTCTGTAATGATCTTTGTGGTTTTTATTATTGGTTGTGTTGAATGTACGGACGACGGCTGGAACTTCATGGAATATATTTGCAATCAGTCTTCACTTTGAGCGGGTCGTGAAGAGTTATTTTACTTTTTCAATAAAGCGGTGTATTTTTGTGTAGTCGTACGGTGTCATTATTGTCAAACTGCCGTTGTGTCAAGATGAGATAAAATAGGACTTGAGACGCCACAATTGAACTTTTTGATGCTCACAATTTCTTCAGTATAAAAAATGTTATTGCCAAAGCGATACATTCTGAAACTAATATTTTACTCTAAATGTGTTGATCTTGTTTAAAAATTAAAAAAAAAATCACATAGTAAAAAAATATGTATTGCCCCCACATATTTTCTTTGAGTCAGAAACAGCTCTTTCAGCAAAAAAGGTTCCTGACCCCTGCTCTATCGTCAGCTGTAGTATTCTGGTTTGTTTTGTTTAATGCCTTTGATTTAGTCCATTTTGTTTTGAAGATGAAAAAGTATTCAGGTGATGAATGCAGGGGCCAGATATAAAACATTTATTACATATTATTAACATTATTATTGAACACAGGACTCAGGTTCTCCGGGCTTTGCGTGGACGGCAGCCATTATGTGGCACAGGCGTGTTGTCAGTGATGGAGACCACCTCCAGACCTCCCATGGCCAGTCCTTTTATCGCAGCCTGCATTGGACACAGAGCATTTCAGACACATACGTTGGACAATACTTTACACCAAAACACACTAAATATATATTTGTACCAACTATGCATCCATCCATTTTCTACCCTTTAATCCATTTCTGGGTCAGGGGGGTGGCAGTCAGAGATGCCACCCAAGTCTCATAGCACCAGCCCCTCACTGATCCTCTGCAGGTGGTGAGTCCACAGGAGGACGGCTGCTCTCTGAGTGTGAGCATAGCCTTGATCTTTCAGTGGGGGCTTTGGGCAAAGTGGGGTTAAGTGTCTTGCCCAAGGACACAACGACAGCAGTCATCAGTGGGAGTCGGTGGAGAAGGTGCAGAGGTGGGAATTGAACCCCTGACCTTCTGGCCTGAAGGCCAATGCTCTACCAACTGAGCTACTGTCGCCCCTATTTGTACCAACTATGCACTTCATTGAAAATAAAATATTCCTTCATTCGTCCCACAGTTAATGTCATTGTTGCACATTCAAATGTATATCACACTCGACCCACAGAAGAAAATATGACTTAAAAACTGCATTTGCAAGAACCTTGATGAAACAGAAGTGTGTGTCTTAAAAAGATTGTGAGGACAAAATGACTGAATATGAAGAAAATGAATAGAAATGATTGAATGTTGGTGACAGGTGATGTTGGGGGTGAAAATATTAAAATGTCTTTGCAGCCGGAAAAACGAGAGACGGGGTTTATAAGACTTTTTTGTCTTCCATCTGTTCCTGTTTATGTTGCACAAATGTAAAGGGAATATACATTATGTAAGTATGTGATATGGCCAAATGGACAAATAAATAAAATTACATCAGAAAAAAGGAAGGAAATCAGACTCACGATTGCACACATCAAACACAATCTATTTTTAAGTAAAATGATAAAAATAACAAAAAAAAAAAACTTTGGAGCTATAATGGCACTTGGTTCTGAGGTATTTACAGATGTGTTTGTTGTACTTTAGCCGCAGAGGATACGAGCAGAATAAACAACAGTAATAATAGCAGCAGGAAAAGTGACTAGTGAATGACAAGAAATATCAGATGGATATGAAATAATGCAGTAATAATAATAATAACAGGTAAAGTGACTAGAGAATAATAATATTGTCTTTAATATTGTAAAAAGTGTGAAATATGTGTAATTGTATACGTACTTGGCGTCCTGGGCCGATACCCTTGACCACGACACGGACATACGAGACTCCTTTAGCCGTTGCTTTCTATTTGGATTACAGAAAAAACTGATCAGTCACAGGAAGTTGTTCATGGTTTGTGTTCCACAGTGAGAAGACAGAGACTTACTGTAGCAGCAGCGATCGCAGCAGTTTGAGCGGCTACTGGTGTCGATTTTTTGATATTTTTAAAGCCTTCTGTCCCACATGAGGTCCTGACCAGAGAAGCTCCTGCACTATCGGTCAGCTGAATATGAGTGCTGAAAAACACAGTCAAAACATTTAAATGTGAATCATTAAAACATATATTTTCTTCCCCTTAATCCATTTCTGAGGTTTAGGGGTGGCCATCAGCTGCCACCCTATTTACAGAGAACCAGGCTCTCACTGATCCTTCTGCAGGTGGTGGGTCCACAGGAGGCTGTTCTGTCGGGGACATCATAGCCTTGATCTTTCAGCAGGAGCTTCAGGCAAAGTGGGGTAAAAGCTGGACTCCCTTTGAGATTTCGAAGCAGCGTTTCAAAAGTAAGCGCTACTTATTCTTCAAAAGGACATATATCTCAATGCACTGCATGGATATGGATTGAATTTTCCAAATGAATACAAAAATAAAATGAGGTAGTCCAGCTTTAAGTGTCTTGCCCATGGACGCAACGACAGCAGTGGGAGTTGGTGGAGAAGGTCTTGTGATGGGCTCGAACCCACGACCTTCAGGCTCAAAGAACAATTCTCTACCAACTGAGCCGCTGTCGCCCCAACAATTTATAAAACTATTTAAAAATCTCAACTAGACAAAAACACACGTGAATATTGACACCTACTTGTTATACGTGGCCTTTACGTGAACTATAGGCAAATCTTCAAACTTGTTCCCACCCCATCTCAGTGGACTGTCCTGCCCCGGCAGTGGAGGAATGTGGCTGTCACAAAAACAAAGTCATTTAGTATTTTACAGCTCTATTATTTTAAGTATATACGTGCAAAAAATACACCAACCTGAAATCCTTAGAATTCTCTGCAGTTTTTGTGCTGGATTCTGTAGAGACCTCTTGCATCCTGACAACACCGCTGCATAATGTTCGCTGCACTGCACTTTGAGCCCATCTTTGAAAAGTGGAAAGAGATGATTTAAACATATGCATTAAACACAGAGGAAATGCAGAATAAAAAGGGCAGGATATGGTTTGGTGACGGTCATGGACGCTTACCGTGAGCCCCCGTTGGTCTGTAGAGAACTGGACAGCTGGACACACACTGGACTTGTAGACTTGAGCACACGTAGTAAACTGAGCATTTTGCGTCTGTAAATATGCTTAAATTACATTACTTTATATGAATTATACTTGAAGGCTAACGTAACGTGACATTGGGGCGACCATAACACGATGGACTGCTTTATTGTTACACAAACGCGGGGGAGATCGCACATGTTTCGATCGCCAAAAGAACTAGATATATGATTTTTTCCTTTATATTTGAACGTGAAATGCCATATTAAAAATCATTGTGATATAACAGAAAACAGAATTTGGCATGTAAGTTAAAAACTGTATGTTTCGACCATACTTTCCCGCCCCTTGATAACAACATGGACTGATCCGAGAAGCGGAAAGGACTTGGGGGTAAAGTTGCGTTCATGAGCATCGTTTTTTTGCAATTTAAAATGTTCTGTAAACTGTTGAACGTCACTATCAGTGTGTGTACACACGTCTGTTGTTCATAATCACTTCTGAAATTATTATATGTTTGATGATAATATGTAAAGGACACTACCATAGAGCTTATCATAGCTCTATGGATACTGCAGGACGTTATTATGACACACCATCAGCTGTCACGCACGTTTACGTCAGTCCGTGAACGCCTCAGGAACATGGCTGCCCCCTGTGCAAGAATGGCCAGTCGTTCTGTCACACACTTTTTACAAACCTTTACCCTCACCATCAGCAGAAATGTTGGATTCAGACAGTTTGGGACCAGCAGTGTTTGTCGGATGAGTCTGAAGCCCGGGCCAGCGTCTCAAAGCGCCGGTCTGGCTCGGTACAGTTTGGCTGCTGCTGTGTACGTGCAGCGGCTGCCCGTGGTGTCCGCAGACTGGTCTCCCACAGAGCAGCGCTTCAGAGACATGATGGCCCAGGTAACACTCACAGTCTGTGGGTAAGAACTATGCTAATAACACCATTACGTATTATTGTTTTTGTTTGTTTCATTATGCATAGCTTTTCTTTATATAATTGCATTCAATCCCTGGTCTGTTAATCTCATTAGTAAAATGCTTATTATCTGTCATTTTGTTATTCTACACAATAATACCGTTACACACACATACACGTTTTTGTTACCTGGTGGGTCCCTTTGACAGGGCCGTTCAGAATGGGACCCATAGACATAATCTTTTTTTACCAAGACTTTAAGTAATACAAAACAGTCAATAGAAACCAAACAACTATTTTAAAGGCATTTTATTTTAGATTTTGTTTTCGAATTGCAGTGATTCTATTTTTGACATAGAATTTAATGCCACTCCATGTCCGATGTCTAAGGTCATCTGGTGAGGCATTAATGCAGGCCAGGCCAGGCCAGGCCAGGCAGTGAGACTTCCCAGGGACCTTTCCAGTCTGTATGAAAGGTGTCATGGTCTTCTCCACAGCCTTCACCTCAGATGCAGACCATGGCTTTCTCTAACGTTCTAGGGAGAGAAATAAAAATATATTAGCAATATACACTCCCAGGGTGAGGACCAAGCAGCCTGGCTGTAATCCCCCACCTGGTACACTTACCAGAAGGGGCACTGCCACTACCATGGGGTGCATCTGGATGAATGGTTGAAGGTTCTCCGCTTGAAGTTTCTTTTAGCCCGTCCGTTTGTGAGAGGATCTCTACTGCTCTCCCTGTCGCACAGAAAATAAAAATACAAGTGGCCTTTAGGGGAAAAAAATCATACATATTTTAATAATATCAAGAATTACCTTCAGGCTCAATTTGTATCTGGTCGAGGCTCTTTCCTTCGAATTCCGTCACTCTTCCCTGCTCCATGGCCATCAACACTTTGCTGATTTTGGCCAGCTCCAGTGTCCCCTCTGGTAGTCTGTAATATTGCCTGTGGATGCGAATGTCATGGCCGAGGAAGTTGGCAAGTATGTCCATCTCATTCTCTTTCATATTGAGAACTGTAGACATAGTAGCTATGTGCTTTCTAAGTTTGGTTGAGGATAGCATCTCTGGATGCACCGCACCACATTCTTTGGCTACCTGCCGTAGGGAGTCTGATCCCCTGATGTGGGTGTCTGCGCCCGGGCGGGAAAAGAAGTATGGGTTATGGTCAGAGATGGAACAGGCCCTTCTTGTTCTCCACCAGCACCTCCATCGAAGCAATCATTTCAGGAGTCAAAAGAACCGGCACTTTCCGACTTCTTTTCCCTTTAATTTCAATGCGTTGAAAATGCTGACACAGCTTTTTCTCAAGTTGGGACAGTCCCAGAGCAATGTCAGAATGGATCCCAGTCTTACTTCTTAAGGTAAAGGCTGTCAGTGGCATCTTTGAAACCTCACCTTCCCTTCTTCGATTGAAAATGATGACCTCACAAAGAGTCAAAACTGCCAGTTTAGACCAATGCTTAGACGTTGGCTCACTTATTAGGGTTTGCACATATTCAGGTCGACATACCTCAATATGTGCATGCATGGCTCTAACGTCCTCAGTCAGAGGGAGCAGGTCCGGAGTGTTCCACTTGGCTTGCCGGAGGGTCTGTAGGGCAGCAGAAGAAACACAGACGTCCCACCTCTTCTCAAAAAGCAGCCGGCTTCGTTGGAGGTTTTTAATAAATAGTTCATCAACACAATGCTCCATTTTTGAGTCACATTCAAGAATATCTGCTAGCTTTCTGAGGCTATGGCCGAGTTTGAGGGCCAAGGATGGAGTCTTGTTTGATTTGTTTCCTCATCATATCCAGCCACAGACCTGACTGCATCAATCACATGGTTAAAGTTGGAAGGAATAAAGAAATCCTTCATTGTTTTCAGTTTCCCTGCGGTTTTTGCTTCGTTAATTAACCTACCGACTTCTCTCATTTTCTGCCTAATGTAATCATGCTTAGTCTTATCATGCCCGTGTTTTAAGAACAGGTGCTCTCCGAGTCTCAGAATCCCCTTTTCTGCTTTGACAACACCCGTGACCTCATCCTGATGCATTGCCGAAATTAAAGACCACAGCTTTTTGCTGATGCCCTCCGGTACAGGCTGGGCTAGGGAGCAGAGGGACTGGACCCTACTTCTACCTGGTTTAGCCTGGGCATCTTTCTGTGAAAGCCGGCACCTGGCCACATGCCTCCACAGCCACTTTCGCTTAAGCAATGCCCCACAGTCTATACAGTGCAAAAACTCACTGGATTTAACTGGGGAATTTGGCTGTTTAGCTGGGACTAAAGTTCCAATGCCGGCCTTTAAAACCTCAAAATTGTGCTCACGGTTTCCACTATTCCTGATCAAATCAAACTGAAGTTTACGTGCTTTAGATTTCACAGGTAGAGCCAATGCTCTGGCTACGTCACTTTCATTTCCATGTTTTCTAGTCAAATGACGGGACATTTTGTGGCAGGACATTGAACAGTAGAGGCAGAAGTGTCTCTTGCTGTAAACTCGCCCCCCATTTTTCTTCTTTTGCAGCTGCATGATAACAATCTTATTTGCCTTTGGTTCGTCACTTTCCGAGTCTTGAAGAAAAGTGTTTGATTTTTCTTTTTCCATACTTTTTTACAGGTTTCTTCTTGACAGTTAAATCGTCAGAATCTGAGTCGACTTCATCAATTAGGGACTCTTGACTAAGCTGCACAAACAACAAATAATTTGTAATCATTCTATATAACAATTTGAAGTCATGACTTGTAGTCAGCACTTACCAGTGGTTTGTAAGCGTGCGCTTCAGTGTGCTCCTCCATGATTTCTTGCAGCCTAATGAACCACACACTTGCACCTTTTTCTAGCCTGACACCTGATTTCCTCTGTTGTGCTGCTCCATGATTGGCTCCAGCCTGCTGGACTGAAATTGCCCCAGTGTGCCCCTCCTTGATATCCCGCAACCCACCACCAGGGTTCCGACACATAACACACTTTTTTCAGGAAAGTAAACCTCCAGGGGTCCTTTCCATATTTTTACAGAGACTGCATAAGGACCGTTAGAAAAGCATTACCCATTGATTATTAAGCTTGGACCAGTGGGGTCCGGTGTTCGGGCCCCACCACGTAAAACCAGTCCCCATGACGTGAGTGGAATCTCAGGTTATGGAACCCACCAGGAGTTGAAAACAAGTGCACAGACACACAGAGAGACACACACACACAGAGAGAGAGACACACACACACACACACACACACACACACAGAGAGAGAGAGGAAGAGACACACACACACAAAAATCATGCATCTCTGCACATCTTATTGTTGTGTGTTGTATGAACGACATATTTCCAGTGTGGTGCAGTGATAACCTTTACTTCCTTGAGTCGTGTATGTATTTTTTCACAAAGTTATGTTCTATTACTTGACAACTGGGTACCTACATTTTTTCACATATTTTTTGTTTCAACAGAAATAGTCTTGTAAAAATAAACTGTTGGGACTAATCAGACAACATTCTGTCTTTAACTTATATAGAACATATATTTTCTTCTGCTTTAATGAGAAAGAGCTCTTATATACATGTGAAAAGTGAAAACTAGTAGTTGAATTAAATGGATTTAATACATGGGTAATGAGTAGTAGTATCGAAATAGTATCAAAGTGTCAATGTCCAGAGGAAGGAGAAGCTAAGTAACCAACCTTAGGTAAAAGTCAAGTTAAACATTTAGAAGTTTTGGGACATGCTTTAGCGCAGGGGTCTCCAACCTGTAGCTCGGGAGCCACCAGTAGCTCGCCACCCCCTTCCAGGTAGCTCGCCAAAGTATCTAGAAGTTAACAAACCAAATAATGTACTTATAATATTATATAACATTTCAGGTGGTTTTATTCATTCTCCTTATTTATTTCATTTCATTTTTTATTTATTTCAATTGTTCTGAATATTCTTTCATTTTTACATGTTTACATAAAATAATACTAGTAGTCAGACAATTGAAAAGGAGCACAAAGAAGACAAACTTATATTATGTGCCCCTTTCTCCAAAAAAACAAACAACATTTTTCAAGATGGTCTGATGTAACAACACATCAGTCACAAAGAAATAACAAATACAACACATGCCACAAGCAGGGTTTGCTCATCAAAACAAATAATCCTCTTTCATTTAATTTCCAGTTCATATGATTTAATTATTGTTTCCTTGAATATTTGTTTAAACTGAAAAATATTTGTGGAGTTTTTTAAAGTGTCTTTCATGGAGTTCCACAGCTTGACTCCAGCCACTGAGATAGCCATCCGCTTCTGGGTGGTACTGGCAAAAGGAAGAGTAAAGTTAAGTTTGTGTCGGAGACGAGAGTCTGATTTAAACGAAAATAGTGTTTGTACAGTTTGAGGCAACAAATGGTGTCTTGCCTTATACATTATTATCGTAACTGCACATACTTTGTCATTAGTAACATGTGATGATAAATAATAACTCGATATCAGACTAGTACGCACCAGGGCCGCTTAAAGAAGTAGCTCTCTGCCTTTATTGTCAAGGGAAAGTTTAAGTTTAAGTTTAAGTTTATTAAGGAAAGCCCCTTGAGATGAATCATCTCATTTTCGAGGGGGTCCTAAACATAAATACAAACATATAAACAAACACACATACACAAAAAGCAATTTACAGCGAATTAAATATGAAAAATGTGAATTAAACACACACAAAGACAAACAAAACAAACAACAACAAAATATAACAAAACAAATGCTCCATCGCACCCCACTCCTCCCCTCTGCTGAAATTAAACATATAGGAAAGAGAAAAAACACAGAGAGAGAGAAAGACACACACACACACACACAGAGAGAAATACACACACACACACACAGAGAGAGAAAGACACACACACACAGAGAGAGAGAGGAAGAGACACACACAGAGAGAAAGAGACACACACACAGAGAGAGAGAGAAAGACACACACACACACACAGAGAGAGAGAGAGGAAGAGACACACACACACACACAGATAAAGAGACACACACACACAGAGAGAGAGAGAGGAAGAGACACACACACACACACAGATAAAGAGACACACACACACAGAGAGAAAGACACACACACACACAGATAAAGAGACACACACACACACAGAGAAAGAGACACACACACACAGAGAGAAAGACACACACACACAGATAAAGAGACACACACACACAGAGAGAGAGGAAGAGACACACACACACACAGATAAAGAGACACACACACACAGAGAGAAAGAGACACACACACACACAAACAAAGACAAACAAAACAAACGACAACAAAATATAACAAAACAAATGCTCCATCGCACCCCACTCCTCCCCTCTGCTGAAATTAAACATATAGGAAAGAGAAAAAAATTAAATAAAATAAGTAAAACTATTAACAATAATGACAAAGAACATTAGTGACATAAACAAGGAGTTTCAAGAAAGTAACTCTCTGGGTGAAAAAGGTTGGGGACACCTGCTTTAGCGTTATCTGACAAAGAGCTGCAGTGAGATATGATGTTTATTCTGCTCATATTCTCATATTCTCCACTGCTAATGTATAATATAGACATCTGTAAATACTCCGAACCAAGTGCAATTGTAGCCCAGATTTTCTTATTTTATTTTATTTTATTTTATCTTAAATTTATTGCCTATTATCTTAAATAATAGACTTTAATGTGTGCAATCTGAGTGCTCTTATTTCCTTTCTCTGCTGTAATGTGCAACGATGACACTGACATTTCTCCACTGTGAGACTAATAAAGGTTTATCTTATCTTATCTTAAATGTGGTCTCAGATGGAGTTGGAGAAGAGTTTGTTATCGGACCATGAGCTGCGGCTGATCGAAGATGCAGAGCGGCTGAAGAGGAAGCAGGCGGACGACTACGACTCTGATGAAGAGGACGTCCAGATGGATCAGGACATCGTACTGGCCCAGGACCTGGAAGACTCCTGGGAGCACAAGTTCAGGAACATGCAGTTTACTCCCAGGGTCAGAGGTCGGTCGGAAAGGATTCAAGTACTTTTCATGTTTTAGAATGTGATTTATTTATCTTAGGGAAAAATTACGTGTTGAAAAGAATGAGTCTGGTGTGTGTGTGAATGGTCAGTGTGCCCCAGGGCAGCTGTGGCTACAGTAGTAGTAGTTTATCACCACAGTGTATGGAGTGAAAGAGTGTCCAGAAAAGCACTGTGTAAAACCCAATTATTATTATTATTCAGAAAGGGTAAAACATGCTTTCTGCCTGCAAATCCCCAAAACAAGAAAGAAACAATCACACAAGGTTTTCAAATCATGAATAAAAATGAAATATTGACTGTGTTTTGATCATAAAAGGCAGAAGGGGAAGGGGTGAGAAAAAGCAAAAAGACATTGTGAGAGTAGAAACTTTTCTCACAGTTTTGGGAAGACCCGAAGTTCCAGATTTTAGCATGAATCTGAAATGCATCCTCCTCTTGTTTAGTCCTGACTCTGGGACCAGCAGGAGTCCAGTCCCTGTGCTCCTCAGAGTCCCAGCAGGAGTCCAGTCCCTGTGCTCCTCAGAGTCCCAGCAGGAGTCCAGTCCCTGTGCTCCTCAGAGTCCCAGCAGGAGGCCAGTCCCTGTGCTCCTCAGAGTCCGGGCTGGTTCATATGGGACTAACATGTCACTAATATATTTTGGTGCGAGGCCATGGAGAGACTTGTAACAAGCAGAGCTGTTTAAAAGTCTATTATCTGAGCCACAGGAAGCCAGTGCAGAGACCTGAGAACTGGACTAATGTGGTCGTACTTCCTGGTTCTAGTCAGGACTAATATGGTCGTACTTCCTGGTTCTAGTCAGGACTAATATGGTCGTACTTCCTGGTTCTAGTCAGGACTAATATGGTCGTACTTCCTGGTTCTAGTCAGGACTAATGTGGTCGTACTTCCTGGTTCTAGTCAGGACTCGAGCTGCTGCATTTTGAATGTACTGCAGCTGTTTTACAGCCTGTTTGGACAGACCTGTGAGCAGGCCATTGCAGTAGTCTAACCTACTGGAGACAAATGCATGGATAAGAATCTCCAAGTCTGCTTTAGACACTATGTTTTTGATCCTGGCAATGTTTTTTAGATGGTAAAAAGCTGCTGATGTTACTGATTTGATGTGGCTATTAAAATTTAAGTCTGAGTCCAGTATTACCCCTAGATTTTTGACCTTGTTTGAAGGTTTTAGGGAGAGAGACTGGAGGTGACAGATGACGCTCTCTCAGCAGCTAAAACGAGCCACGTTGGGTTTGTCAGAAAACGGCTTCTTTTGTGTGTGTTTCAGACGACGTGGATCAGGACTTGAGTTCGGTGCAGCGCTGTCTGATGGACTTCCTGGTGCTGGTGTCTGAACACGCCGTGGGGGATCAGAAGCTGTGGCTGCTGCCTCAAAGAGAGTGGCAGGAGGGCGAGACGCTGAGGCAGACAGCGGAGAGGGCCCTGGCTTCACTCCCCGGTAACTATCACAACGACCAACCTGCGCCGGACACATGCCGTGGACAAAACAGTCTTTAGTCAGCCCAAACTTTAGCTAAAAGATGAGATTTATGAGAGACAAAAATGAGAAAAAAATCCACTCTGATTTTTAAAGAAATGTCTTTACAAATTAAGTAGTTTCAGTTTAGTCCATTTCAATACTTTGCTTTTGATTAACCTTTTGTTGGCAATGACAGAGGTCAGACTTTTTATTGTCTACACAAGGTTAAAAACTGTTGTTGGTATTTTGGCCCATTCCTCCATGTAGATCTCTTCTACAGCAGTGATGCTTCTTCCATTCTTTCTTTACTGATATCAGTCGTCCTGGTCTAAACACGTTCTGAGATGGATGTTCGTTATTGACTTGTTTTCCACCGTAATTTACAAATATATTCTTTTGAAAATCAGACATGCTTTTTTCTCATTATGTAGAATAGAGACAGTATCGACCATTCTCTCTGCTCTGCTCCAAAGTAAAACGCTAAATGCTTTGTTAGCATTCCTCCAGTGGAGTTTCTCCTGATCCACTTGGACCAGTGTAAAACCATGAACACTGAACTGCAGCAACATCTCAGGCAGAAAAAAGCAAGAAAAATAACATTTATAAAACACATTTAGAACTTGTGTGTGAATTATGAAACTTATAAAACATTTGCATTTGGATCATTCATAAATATCTCAGACTTTGGAACAGGCAGAATGTAGAAGTGATGGTGACGTCATAGTACCTTTACTAATCTGGTTTTACTAAATTAATGTTTATTTAATAACCGTTAAGATTTTTTGCGCATTTTCTTTGACGAGCAGGAAGCACCGAGATTCTCCAAAGCTTAGTTTTATTGGACATGGATTTAGGTGAAATTGATCCAAACTGTCAGAGAAGATCCATAACTGCAATCTTTAAATGTCAAACCGAGCTTAATTCAAAGGTCAGTTTGCAAAACATCAGAGACATGATCTTTTCACGTTCTTTAGTCACAATATTTTACTGATTCATTTTAGTTTTCACAGTAGTTCGTCTCCGGAGGCACAGCTCAGTGTCCACAAAAAATGTCCATCTGTCGTCATGAAAATGTAGTATATTCATAATATACATGATAATTGTTGCTGTACATGTACTAGATCTATCCTGGTCTTACCATAAACTCTGGTCCATCATCATTTCCTCTGACTGCTAATGTCCACAGGAGGCGTTACAGCACGTACGCGTTATACATGCAGCATGTTAACCTATGATGATATTTACACTTCTAGCGTTATACGCGTGAATGACGTTGTGCTCTAATTTAGGATGGATTTCTAATTTTGTGAACGCACCAACGCGTCTCCTATTGAAATCTCATGTAAAACAGGATTTTTCTAGCGGCCCTTGGCTCTAGATTGCATCCACACACACACACACACACACACACACACAGACACACAGACACACACACACACAGACACACACACACACAGACACAGACACACACACACACAGACACACAGACACACACAGACACACAGACACACACATACACACACACACACACACACACAGACACACAGACACACACACACACACACACATACACGTTTTTGTTACCTGGTGGGTCCCTTTGACAGGGCCGTTCAGAATGGGACCCATAGACATAATCTTTTTTTACCAAGACTTTAAGTAATACAAAACAGTCAATAGAAACCAAACAACTATTTTAAAGGAATTTTATTTTAGATTTTGTTTTCGAATTGCAGTGATTCTATTTTTGACATAGAATTTAATGCCACTCCATGTCCGATGTCTAAGGTCATCTGGTGAGGCATTAATGCAGGCCAGGCAGTGAGACTTCCCAGGGACCTTTCCAGTCTGTATGAAAGGTGTCATGGTCTTCTCCACAGCCTTCACCTCAGATGCAGACCATGGCTTTCTTACACGTTCTAGGGAGAGAAATAAAAATATATTAGCAATATACACTCCCAGGGTGAGGACCAAGCAGCCTGGCTGTAATCCCCCACCTGGTACACTTACCAGAAGGGGCACTGCCACTACCATGGGGTGCATCTGGATGAATGGTTGAAGGTTCTCCGCTTGAAGTTTCTTTTAGCCCGTCCGTTTGTGAGAGGATCTCTACTGCTCTCCCTGTCGCACAGAAAATAAAAATACAAGTGGCCTTTAGGGGAAAAAAATCATACATATTTTAATAATATCAAGAATTACCTTCAGGCTCAATTTGTATCTGGTCGAGGCTCTTTCCTTCGAATTCCGTCACTCTTCCCTGCTCCATGGCCATCAACACTTTGCTGATTTTGGCCAGCTCCAGTGTCCCCTCTGGTAGTCTGTAATATTGCCTGTGGATGCGAATGTCATGGCCGAGGAAGTTGGCAAGTATGTCCATCTCATTCTCTTTCATATTGAGAACTGTAGACATAGTAGCTATGTGCTTTCTAAGTTTGGTTGAGGATAGCATCTCTGGATGCACCGCACCACATTCTTTGGCTACCTGGCGTAGGGAGTCTGATCCCCTGATGTGGGTGTCTGCGCCCGGGCGGGAAAAGAAGTATGGGTTATGGTCAGAGATGGAACAGGCCCTTCTGTTCTCCACCAGCACCTCCATCGAAGCAATCATTTCAGGAGTCAAAAGAACCGGCACTTTCCGACTTCTTTTCCCTTTAATTTCAATGCGTTGAAAATGCTGACACAGCTTTTTCTCAAGTTGGGACAGTCCCAGAGCAATGTCAGAATGGATCCCAGTCTTACTTCTTAAGGTAAAGGCTGTCAGTGGCATCTTTGAAACCTCACCTTCCCTTCTTCGATTGAAAATGATGACCTCACAAAGAGTCAAAACTGCCAGTTTAGACCAATGCTTAGACGTTGGCTCACTTATTAGGGTTTGCACATATTCAGGTCGACATACCTCAATATGTGCATGCATGGCTCTAACGTCCTCAGTCAGAGGGAGCAGGTCCGGAGTGTTCCACTTGGCTTGCCGGAGGGTCTGTAGGGCAGCAGAAGAAACACAGACGTCCCACCTCTTCTCAAAAAGCAGCCGGCTTCGTTGGAGGTTTTTAATAAATAGTTCATCAACACAATGCTCCATTTTTGAGTCACATTCAAGAATATCTGCTAGCTTTCTGAGGCTATGGCCGAGTTTGAGGGCCAAGGATGGAGTCTTGTATTGATTTGTTTCCTCATCATATCCAGCCACAGACCTGACTGCATCAATCACATGGTTAAAGTTGGAAGGAATAAAGAAATCCTTAATTGTTTTCAGTTTCCCTGCGGTTTTTGCTTCGTTAATTAACCTACCGACTTCTCTCATTTTCTGCCTAATGTAATCATGCTTTGTCTTATCATGCCCGTGTTTTAAGTACAGGTGCTCTCCGAGTCTCAGAATCCCCTTTTCTGCTTTGACAACACCCGTGACCTCATCCTGATGCATTGCCGAAATTAAAGACCACAGCTTTTTGCTGATGCCCTCCGGTACAGGCTGGGCTAGGGAGCAGAGGGACTGGACCCTACTTCTACCTGGTTTAGCCTGGGCATCTTTCTGTGAAAGCCGGCACCTGGCCACATGCCTCCACAGCGACTTTCGCTTAAGCAATGCCCCACAGTCTATACAGTGCAAAAACTCACTGGATTTAACTGGGGAATTTGGCTGTTTAGCTGGGACTAAAGTTCCAATGCCGGCCTTTAAAACCTCAAAATTGTGCTCACGGTTTCCACTATTCCTGATCAAATCAAACTGAAGTTTACGTGCTTTAGATTTCACAGGTAGAGCCAATGCTCTGGCTACGTCACTTTCATTTCCATGTTTTCTAGTCAAATGACGGGACATTTTGTGGCAGGACATTGAACAGTAGAGGCAGAAGTGTCTCTTGCTGTATACTCGCCCCCCATTTTTCTTCTTTTGCAGCTGCATGATAACAATCTTATTTGCCTTTGGTTCGTCACTTTCCGAGTCTTGAAGAAAAGTGTTTTTGATTTTTCTTTTTCCATACTTTTTTACAGGTTTCTTCTTGACAGTTAAATCGTCAGAATCTGAGTCGACTTCATCAATTAGGGACTCTTGACTAAGCTGCACAAACAACAAATAATTTGTAATCATTCTATATAACAATTTGAAGTCATGACTTGTAGTCAGCACTTACCAGTGGTTTGTAAGCGTGCGCTTCAGTGTGCTCCTCCATGATTTCTTGCAGCCTAATGAACCACACACTTGCACCTTTTTCTAGCCTGACACCTGATTTCCTCTGTTGTGCTGCTCCATGATTGGCTCCAGCCTGCTGGACTGAAATTGCCCCAGTGTGCCCCTCCTTGATATCCCGCAACCCACCACCAGGGTTCCGACACATAACACACTTTTTTCAGGAAAGTAAACCTCCAGGGGTCCTTTCCATATTTTTACAGAGACTGCATAAGGACCGTTAGAAAAGCATTACCCATTGATTATTAAGCTTGGACCAGTGGGGTCCGGTGTTCGGGCCCCACCACGTAAAACCAGTCCCCATGACGTGAGTGGAATCTCAGGTTATGGAACCCACCAGGAGTTGAAAACAAGTGCACACACACACACACACACACACACACACACACACACACACACACACACACACACACACAGACACACAGCACTTGTATCTAAACATCAGCAGGAGGAGCAGCAGGTTTTACAGTGATTCTAGACATCGTTTTTATTCTTTCATAAAGTCTGGCGTCTGGCCAAACCAGCGCACAGAGACCATGAAGACAAACACATGGTATTTGTGTTGCTCTACATCAGTCTCTGTACTGTCCTCTGCACTGCTCCACAGACTACACAGGGACAGCATCAGAAGGACCTGCGCACGACCTGTGTAGATACACCCAAATAATGTTACGCACAGAGAGCGCGCAGTCAACGCGTATGCGCTGTTAACGCCTACTGTGGAAATTCCCTGTTCCCTGGGTTCAAATCCCCGTCAGAACAGGGTCTTTCTGAATGGAGTTTGCATGTTCTCCCCGTGTCTGCATAGGTTTCCTCCGGGTGCTCCGGTTTCCACTACCACTAAAAAATCCTCTAGCTCTGGTCCTGACCAAGCTGAGTACCAACATCTGGGCCCGGGCACTGTTACTACGGCGACCACAGAAGCCTTTGTGGCGTCAGGATCTGGGTCAAATGCAGAGGACAAATTTCCTGTGTTTTCATGTTATTTATTTATCTAATATATATATATATATTTATATATGTGCTGCTCAAATGAATTGCCCGCGGTGGGATAAATAAAATAGTCTGAATCTGAATAAAGTGCACATTTACATTTAAAAGTAACTTTACAAACATACACAGGCACAAACCGTGAGGGTCGATGAACCCATGACGTGCAGTACATTTCTCTTCTTCTTCTGTGCAGTGGGTCTCGAGGCCACGTTCCTGGGAAACGCCCCGTGTGGAGTTTACAAGTACAAACTCCCCAAACCTCTGCGCACTGACAGCTCGATTGGGACAAAGGTGTTTTTCTTCAAAGCTGTTTTGTCAGAACCTTCTGCTTCCTCTCACAGCGCCCTCCTGTGGCTGAAGAAAAGCGAACTGCAGAGTTACCTAAAACCATCGTACATGATGAAGGTCGAGCCGTTCATCATCGACCTGTGAAAAGCTGGACTCTTTTGTTTAAAGTCTGTTTTCTGTCTCTTTGCTTTTGTAAAAAAACTATTTCTCTGTACAAAAAAATAAAGTGTTTTCCCATTTACGCTGCGTTTGTCATTAAAAATATATACAAGAAACACTTAGCTCCAACATGAAGGATTTTAGTGGATGCACATTAAACAAGAAAAGACTAATCCATCCATCTTCTTCCCCTTAATCCATTTCTGGGTCAAGGGGGGGGGTTAAGTGTCTTGCCCAAGGACACAACAACAGCAGACATCAGTGGGGGTTGTGAAGAAGGTGTTGTATGTGGAATCGAGCCAACAACCTTCAGGCTCAAAGGCCAATGCTCTACCAACCGAGCCAAGACTAATAATAACAATAATAATTAATATATTGTTGTTTATGACCACATTGAGCGTCAGAGGAAAATTGGCTTGTCTTTAGATATTTTACTTTTTGGGGTCTGTTCTCTTTTAAGTAAGTAAAGTTTCACAGACCAGGATCACAAAACGCATCACAATTAAAAACATACTAAAAATACACATGCAAGTCAGTTCCACAAACAAATTTACAAAATAGTGACCATAAAAGCATTAAAATCACACAAGAAATGTAGAAATAAATAACCATAGTGCAGTAGAAATAGATCCTTCAGTTGTAGCTTTGTCAGAGATAGACGCCTCTCTCACATTTTCAGGGAGACAAATTGAGAGCTTTGCCTTTTGGCTCAGCTCCCTCTTCCCCACAGCAGACTGATACAGCTCTGACTGCAGACGCTGCTCCCTCTTCACCACGACGGTCCGATACAGCTCTGACTGCAGACGCTGCTCCCTCTTCACCACGACGGTCCGATACAGCTCTGACTGCAGACGCTGCTCCCTCTTCACCACGACGGTCCGATACAGCTCTGACTGCAGACGCTGCTCCCTCTTCACCACGACGGTCCGATACAGCTCTGACTGCAGACGCTGCTCCCTCTTCACCACGACGGTTCGATACAGCTCTGACTGCAGACGCTGCTCCCTCTTCACCACAACGGTCCGATACAGCTCTGACTGCAGACGCTGCTCCCTCTTCACCACAACGGTCCGGTGCAGCATCACTGCGCACGCTGCACCGATCCGCCTGTCAATCTCACGCTCCATCCGTCCCTCACTCGTGAACAAGACCCCGAGATACCGTAAATTATAATTTATGATCTCAATGCAAGTTGGGAGTAAAAAGGCAAGGCAAGGCAAGGCATGTTTATTTGTATAGCACAATTCATACACAAGGCAACTCAAAGTGCTGAACAAGATAGCATTAAAATCATAAATAATCACAGAACATTAAAAAGAAAGATAAAAATATAAAATCCCTCAGTTGTATGCACAGCTAAACAGCACAGTTTTTAACTTGGTTTTAAACATTGTCAGAGAGGAGGCCTGTCTCACATCTTCAGGAAGAATGTTCCAGATTTTAGCAGCATGAATCTGAAAAGCAGCCTCCCCATGTTTAGTTCTGACTCTGGGCACTAACAGGAGTCCAGTCCCTGTGCTCCTCAGAGTCCGGACTGGTTCATATGGGACTTACATGTCACTAATATATTTTGGTGCGAGGCCATGGAGAGACTTGTAACAAGCAAAGCTGTTTTAAAGTCTATTCTCTGAGCCACAGGAAGCCAGTGCAGAGACCTGAGGACCGGACTAATGTGGTCGTACTTCCTGGTTCTAGTCAGGACTAATATGGTCGTACTTCCTGGTTCTAGTCAGGACTGGAGCTGCTGCATTTTGAATGTACTGCAGCTGTTTTACAGCCTGTTTGGACAGACCTGTGAGCAGGCCATTGCAGTAGTCTAACCTACTGGAGACAAATGCATGGATAAGAATCTCCAAGTCTGCTTTAGACACTATGTTTTTGATCCTGGAAATGTTTTTTAGATGGTAAAAAGCTGCTGATGTTACTGATTTGATGTGGCTATTAAAATTTAAGTCTGAGTCCAGTATTACCCCTAGATTTTTGACCTTGTTTGAAGGTTTTAGGAAGAGAGACTGTAGATGACAGATGACGCTCTCTCTTTGTTTCTGGGGACCAAAGACAATCATTTCAGTTTTGTCTGCGTTTAGCTGAAGGAAGTTGTTTTGCATCCACTCACTGATCTGTTGGATACAGTGAAGGAGTGAGTCCACTGGTCCATGTTCTCCTGCAGTCAGTGAGACATAGATCTGAGTGTCGTCTGCATAGTTATGATAGGAAACTTCGTTTCTGCGTATTAACTGACCTAACGGCAGCATGTAGAGATTGAACAGAAGAGGTCCCAGGATCGACCCCTGTGGTACTCCACAGGTCAGGGCCATATGATCTGAGACACAGTTTCCAATCTCCACAAAGTACTTCCTGTCTTCAAGGTAAGACCTAAACCAACTTAGGGCGGTGCCAGCGACGCCAACCCAGTTCTCTAGTCTCTGTAAGAGGATCTCATGGTCGACGGTGTCAAAGGCAGCACTTAGATCTAACAAGATTAAGATTGAGACTTTGCCTGCGTCAGTGTTTAGCCGGATATCGTTTGTAACCTTGACGAGAGCAGTCTCAGTGCTGTGGTGGGGTCTAAAGCCGGACTGAAACATATCAAATGAGTTGTTGATTATAAGAAATCTATTTAGCTGTTGGTAGACAACTTTTTCAAGGACTTTCCCCATAAATGGCAGATTTGAGATGGGACGATAGTTGTTAAGTACCGTAGCATCCAGACTGCTCTTTTTTAGCAGGGGCCTGATGACTGCAGTTTTCAGGGCCTTTGGGAATATTCCAGAATGAAGGGACATGTTTACTATCTGTGTGAGTGAAGGTAACAGACTGCTCAGAACAGACTTCAGAAATCTAGTGGGTAGTACATCCAAGCTGCATGTGGAGGAGCTCAAACTGGAGATTATCTCTTGGACAGTTTGATCATTTACAGGTGCAAAGTAAGTTAGCTCAAAGAGCCTTTTAGGCTGTTGGATGGTTATCTGTGGATTGGAGACAATGGCGTTTTTGATGCCTTGAACCTTGTCATTGAAAAAATGTGCAAACTCATTACATTTACGTTTGGAAGTTAGCTCTAATGGCATCTGAACAGGGGGGTTTGTTAATCTATTAACTGTTGAAAACAGAACACGCAGATTGTTGCTGCAGCCTTCAATCATTTCAGAAAAATACCTTTCTCTCGTACTACGTAGCACCTGGTTAAACTCGCACAACTTATCTTTGAAGATCTCGTAGTCAACCTGGAGGTTGGACTTGCGCCACTTCCGCTCGGCCCTCCGGCACTCTCTCTTTTGTGCCCTGACCGAGTCTGCTTTAGCCCACGGCGCCTTCTGCTTATTTTTCACTGTTTTAACCTTCACAGGAGCGATGGTGTCCAGAACATTCAAAACACAAGAGGTGACAGAGTTAAACAGTTCATCTACAGTAGAATACGATGCATTCTCAAAGTTTATCATTCCCATAAATAGTTCACCCGTATTTTCATTTATGTGTCTTCTTCGTACAGTTGCAGAGTCCACTGGTGGTTTGTTAGTGAAACACATGTCAAAAAATACACAAAAATGATCCGAAAGCGCAACATCGACCACGTTTACATTTGAAATATTCACCCCCTTAGTAACTAACAGGTCTAGAGTGTGCCCTCTGCTGTGGGTGGGGCCACTCACGTGCTGAGTGAGACCAAAAGATTCAAGAACAGAACTCAGCTCTTTTGCCTTTCTGTCAATAACATTATCCACATGAATATTAAAATCCCCTGTAATAACTAAGTGTGGTAAAACGGCTTCTGAGGTCAGTGCTGAGGGTGCGCCTGCTTTCCCACGGGCCGCCCCGGTGGGCTTTATAAGCGCTCCTCCCCTCATTTGCCCCTCTTTGCCCTCACGCCTCTGCAGCTGTGAGTTTGTCCCAGCTCCACGCATTCCAGTGCTGCTGTCTGGTTCCTCTAGGCACCCAAAAACCTCTGCGCGCCAGGTAAACCACTGCTTCCAATACAACATGTAGAATGCACATTCACAAAACGCAATCTTTTCCCAGCTCCTGTGTTTGCCCTGCGTCTGCACTCTCGTGCGACAGTGGCCTCTGTAGCGTGCCTTCGACTGCAGCGACAGGTATAATCATGCAGGCTTCGGTTCATTCATAAATTCGCACAGTTTTGTAATGTAATCCACGCTTTGTAGGCACGCTGCTTGACCCAAGCCTACGGGCTGCGCTGTCCTATGCGCTGTGGCGTGTACCTAATTATTAAAGGTAATTATTTAATAGCAAAATTCATTCATGCATAGTTCTAATCTTAACTCGGGACCTTTTTATCTAGCTGGTGGTGATCAGCATTACGCACCACAAGTGGCGCGGGTTTGGTCCGCCCATTCATAGTGGCTGCTCTGAGCGCAGCCTCCTGTTTGGCCTAAAGCTGTGGACCACTCGTTCTTGGGGCTCTAATTGGTAGGCTTATCTATTTAGATTTATTTTGTCCCCTTTTTGTTATTTATTTAGTTAGGGTTATTTTAGGTAATATTCTAAATTCATTCTTTTATAGGTGCGTTCCAGCGGCACTGGCACACGCCCCCTGCTGCTCTGCTTTGCCCTGGCTCCTGCTTTATTTTGCCTTGATTCCTGCTGCTTTGGCTTGGCTTCAGCTGCTTTATCTGCTGCTTGGCTTCGCAGCTTCGTATCGCTATCGCACTTTGTTTCGCTGCTCTGCCTTGTGACTGTTTCACCCCACTGTTTTGCTGCTCCATGTCCTTCGCAGCTGTGGACGCCTGCGTCTAGCACTCACGCACTTTAACGAGTGCTGCGTCCCGGTTCTGGGGCGTATACTTGTGGGAATGTGCAATAACAGTAAGAGTGAGTGAGTGTGCGAACGAGTGAGAGAGTATAGCATTTAGTTCTTATCCATTTAAATTAAATAAAAAGACTGAACTGTATTGACCACACTGTAAAATAAACCTGTCAAACTTGGAACCTGGTGCATTCTAATCTTTTAATACTTACCTGTGTGTCCTTAATTTATAGTACAGTACTCTTCCGGTGAAATTCCGGTCGTGGCGTTGCTTGGTTTATTTTAATACTTACATATTTTAACCAGTTATGATTAATTAATGTAACTTATTTTCTAAATCCTATTACCACCACCCCTAGGCTGCCACAGATTTGGCTTATTGCTGGCAGGATATTGAATAAACAGATACCCAGGTTCCAGTTATGTTGTGAAAAATGTTTTGAAATGTCAGTTAAAGTTTTGTGAAAAATAGTCACTGCTAAAGTCAATCGAACAGTACCAGTTGCCTATGCTATTTGCATGTTTGTGTGGTTTGCACTTTGATTTGCTGTGTACATTTGATTTTGATGTATATTTTCTGTTTGAAGCTAAGGTATTGTGACCACTGGAATAATTGCTGGTGCAGGTGTACTGTTTCACTCACAACCATATTCAAAAACTGAATTTCATGCATTGTATGTAGAGCTACTTGTGTAGTGGCTTTCTTTTTGTGAACAGGTCACACATTCTCAACCATTTTGTTTGTTTTTCAGTCTGGGGCAAAGCAGCAGCAGCAGTTGTTGGCGTGTGGCGGCGGAGTTTGTAGATCGTATTTGTAAAAATTTTTCCAGACTCATTTTTTTTGGCATTTGCGCGTGTAGAATAATGGAGGAAGAACTGCAGAGACTGAGGGACAAAGTGGCCCACTTGACGACGGAGAACGTGAGGCTGCGCTCAGACCAGGCTCAACCATCTGGTGCTGGGACCGCTACTGCGCCTGCACTGGATAGGTTTGTTTATGTTCCACGAGATCGGAAATGTCCCATGTTCCGAGGACACACTGGGCTTAGCCTTAATGATTGGATTGAAGAAGCGGAAGCCTGCATGAGGTCACGACACCTATCGCAACCAGTTGATAAAGCATTCTTCTTATACGACCATTTAGAAGGCGAAGCACGACATGAGCTGAAATATCGTAGCAGTGCAGACAGAGACGACCCAAATAAAATACTTTCTATTCTTAAGGATTTATATGGCTGCTCCGATTCTTATGTGGCTCTTCAGGAAGCCTTCTTCTCACGTAAACAAAAGGAGGGAGAGACCCTTTTAGAGTTCTCGCTAGCCTTATTAAACCTTATGGACAAAGTCAAAGCGCGTGCACCTAATGCTATGCCGAATTCTGAGAGTTTGATGCGTGACCAGTTTATAGAGTATGTCTGTGATGGAGCATTGCGCCGTGTGTTGAAGCAACACGTTCGTCAAAATCCAAACGCAACCTTGATAGAGGTCAGAGGGGAGGCATTGAGGTGGGAGCGCGAGGGTATGCCGGCTGGCGCCCGTGGGCGAAGCAACTCCGTGCCTTCAGCATTTGGCCTCCAGTATGCTGTGCACAGTGGACCCCCAAGTGTGCCCCATCCACTTTGCCCAGAGGTAAGTGACATGAAAGAACTCCTAAAGCGGCAGCAGGACCAGCTTGATAAGCTCACTCGGAGCATCGCACTTCTCCAATCAGAGCGCCAGAGAGGTCTGTCTCCTCGTCCTGGACCTACAATCTGTCACAGGTGTCAACGGCCAGGTCATATAGCCAGGCATTGCGACGGGCAGCGTGCCCCCGATTGGCAGCAACATTCTTCTCGTCCGTCTCGTGGTAACGTACAACAGCAGTCGGAAAACTAGTTCCCCCCGGGTCTAGGAGCCACCGCCCGGGTGGGGCCTCTTTTGGCTCAGCAAAAGTTGCAAGCCGTTTGGTTGATGCTCCCAAACTGATAGCGTCATGCCCGCACATAAAAGTGGATATGGCCGGAATTTCGGTGCCTTGTTTGGTTGACACTGGCTCTATGGTGTCAACAATCACAGAGGGTTTCTTCAGAGAACACTTTGAGTCCCGAGGAGTGGAGCGGTTGCAAGCCTGTAATTGGCTGCAGCTACGAGCAGCCAACGGGCTGGCTATCCCCTATGTAGGGTATCTCGAACTCAGTGTTGTGCTCTGTGGTAAGTCAATACCCCGCTGTGGTGTGTTGGTCGTAAGGGACCCACCAGGTATGCCAGTTCAGGTCCCCGGCGTTTTGGGGATGAACGTGATCGGAAAGTGCTATCAGGAACTTTTTGGACAGCATGGGTCGGCACTGTTCAACACAGCTCCTGTGGCGGCGTCCCCTACCTACTTGGTAGACGCCCTCCAAAAGTGCCATGTAGCTCACCAGGTGCCAGTCAATGCACGCCCTGGGAGAGTTAGAGTCCGAGGGAAGCAGGTTGTGCGCGTTCCTCCGGGCAGCCTGAAGGTCGTGCCCGCTACTTGTTCCGAACAGTACAGTGGCCACCCAGTGCTTTTTGAACCCGTGGAGTCGGGATTGCCCTCCGGTTTGTTGGCCTCACCATCGTTGGTTGAAGTCATTAGAGGCACTGCTTATGTTCCAGTTGTTAATGTAGGGACCTGCGACGTACTGCTGTACCCTCGCACCGTCGTTGGAACGCTTAATAATGTAAATGTGGTTAGTTTGCCGGCAGGTGTGACTGAGGTGCCTACCGCTATGGCGACCATCTCAGCACAGGCCACTGCCACTTCAGCAACGGACCCAATCGAACGGGTGGATTTGTCCCTGCTGTCAACAGAGGAGCAGGAACAGGTGCGAACACTCTTGCGGAGGTATGACACTGTGTTTGCAGCCCATGAGCAGGACTTGGGTTGTACCAACCTGGTGGAGCACGACATCCCACTTCTCGATGACGCGCCTATAAGGCAGCGCTATCGCCGGATCCCACCATCAGACTACGAGCTTGTGAAGGAGCACATCCGTAAGCTCTTGGAGGCTGAGGTGATTAGGGAGAGCTCGAGTCCTTATGCCTCTCCCATAGTGCTCGTCCGGAAGAAGGACAGCAGCCTCAGACTCTGCGTCGACTATCGTCGGTTGAACGGCAAGACCCGAAAGGATGCGTTTCCACTCCCCCGTATCGAGGAGTCACTCGACGCCCTGACAGGTGCCAAGTGGTTCTCCACCATGGATTTGGCCAGCGGCTATAATCAGGTACCTGTCAGGGAGAGCGATCGGCACAAAACTGCGTTTTGTACGCCATTCGGGTTATTTGAGTGGAATCGCATGCCTTTCGGGCTCTGCAATGCCCCCAGCACCTTCCAGCGGCTAATGCAGCGCATTTTTGGGGACCAACAATGCCAGTCTCTCCTCTTGTACTTGGATGACATTGTGGTGTTTTCTTCTACAGTCGCGGAGCATTTGGAGAGGCTGGCGGTGGTGCTGGGTAGGCTGCAGAACGAGGGTCTGAAGGCCAAGCTGGGCAAGTGCAGCTTCTTCCGGACGGAGGTGAGCTACTTGGGTCATATCATCTCTGACCAGGGAGTAGCCACCGACCCGAGCAAGATCGAGGTAGTGGCTAGCTGGCCTACACCAAACACTGCCACCGAGCTTAGATCCTTTCTTGGGTTTGCTAGTTACTACCGGCGATTTGTGGAGGGCTTCGCAAAGTTGGCTGCCCCCTTACATCGCAGAGTGGCCGAACTTACAGGGAAGCCAACTCGGAAGAAAGTCTCCCCTAATGCTGCTGGGCCATGGACTGAGGAGTGCCAACAGAGCTTTGATGCTCTTAAAGCAAAGCTCACCTCGGCCCCGGTTCTAGCATATGCAGACTTCTCCCTTCCCTTCATATTGGAAGTAGACGCCAGCCATAATGGCCTAGGCGCAGTCTTGTCTCAAGAACAGGAGGGGGTGGTAAGGCCCATTGCATACGCCAGCCGTGGCCTTAGACCCCCTGAGCGAAACATGTCGAATTACAGCTCGATGAAACTGGAGCTCTTGGGGCTTAAGTGGGCACTCACTGAGAAGTTCAGGGAGTACCTGCTGGGACAGAAATGCCTGGTTTACACTGACAACAACCCGTTGAGCCATTTGTCATCTGCAAAACTAGGTGCTGTGGAGCAGCGTTGGGCCGCTCAGCTTGCCTCCTTCGACTTCGAGCTGAAGTATCGTTCTGGGAAGAGCAATCGCAATGCTGATGCCCTATCCAGGCAGCCCTGGGATTTGGAGGTGCAGACTCTTCCTGCCCAAGGTACTCCCTTGCCTCAGCCACTGCAGCAAATGCTGCAGAACCAACAAGGGCAGGCTTCACAATCTGTGATGGCAGTATTTCCCCATTATGCCCCAGCTGACCTCCATACTCTACAACTGGGGGATCCAGTCATCCAGGAGGTAGCAGTCTTTTGGCGGAAAGATCAGCGCCCCACCCAGGTAGAGCGACAGCAGCTCTCGGAACTAGCCCTTGTCCTTCTAGGACAATGGGAGAGGTTGGTTGAGGTAGACGACCTCCTGTACCGACAGATGTTTCGGTCAGATGGTGGTGGGGCAGTATACCAGCTGCTCTGGCCCCGAGCTTTGGTCAAGGATGTCCTCACCAAGGTACACCAGGAGCACGGACACCAAGGGGTTGACCGGACTCTAGCCCTTTTGCGCTCTCGCTGCTACTGGCCAGGTATGTCCCGGGAGGTGGCGCAGTGGTGCCAAGCTTGCGAGCGATGCCAATTTGCTAAAAACAACCAGCCAGCTGCTCGCAGCTACATGGGTCACCTCCTGGCATCAAAGCCGAACGAAATTGTGGCAATCGATTTCACCCTGCTTGAACCCACATCGGCAGGTGTAGAGAATGTCCTGGTGATGACGGACGTCTTCAGTAAATACACCTTGGCTGTCCCCACCAGGGACCAACGTGCGTCCACTGTAGCACAGGTCCTGATCTCGGAGTGGTTTGCGAAGCTTGGTGTCCCAGCTCGTATCCACTCAGATCAGGGCCGCAACTTTGAGAGCGCTTTGATACAACAGCTTTGCTGCTTGTATGGGGTGACCAAATCGCGAACCACCCCATATCATCCAGCAGGTAACGGGCAGTGCGAAAGGTTCAACCGCACACTGCACAATCTGCTTCGCACGTTACCTACTTCGCGGAAGCGGGACTGGAGTTCCTGTCTCCCTGAGGTGTTGTTCGCTTATAACACGACACCTCATCAGTCGACCGGGGAATCTCCGTATTTCCTTATGTTTGGTCAGGAGCCCCGTCTTCCTGTTGACTTCCTTCTGGGCCACGTGCAGGAACCACTGGCGGGAAGTGTAACGGAATGGGTAGCGGAGCATCAAGCCCGGCTACACCTTGCCTTTGATGGGGCGCAAGCCCGGTTAAAGGTTGCAGCAGCTCGCCGAAAAGCCAACCATGACAGGCTGGTGCGAGTCACCCCGCTCCAAGAGGGTCAGCTTGTGCTTTTGCGCAATTACCACATAAGGGGTCGCCAGAAGACTCAGGACCTTTGGTGTCCAGTCACCTACCAGGTTATACGGGTACCAGAAGGGGAAGGTTCTGTGTATACAGTGGCCCCGGTTGATGACCCGAGTAAGATCAGGAGAGTACATCGTTCCTTGCTTAAAGCTTTGGTTTCTCTTGGCAACCCTGGCATGGTCGCGGAAGACCCACCAAGGGAGCAGTTCACCCCACGCGAGGAGTGGTCTCCGGATTCTTATGATGGCAATGTGTTCGTTATACCAGCGTCTTTGGGGCGCTCCCCTCCTGCCTCCAGGGCCTCAGGGCTTTCTTCTGCTCACCGGAGCCCCTCCCAAACTCC